AACAATGGGAGTGGGTGGGGTTTATTTTAAACAGATTGGCCATGGAAGACCTCTCTGCAGAAATGACTTTTGGACAACAGTGAACAGAGGGAAGGAGCCAGCTATAGGAAAATCTGGGGAAAGAGCATTCTAGACAGAAGGAACCGTAAATGCAAAGGCCCCGAGGCAGAAACTGTCAGGGGAAGCACACTGACTGAAACCGCCCACCCTGGCCAGGCACCACAGTAACCATTTGCATGAGTTGTTTTAGGACAGGAGGTCCTGGTAAGGAACACGGAACTAATAAGCCACCATCAATGGGACTGTTCAGGAAAGATCAAAAGGGGACACCACATGTCTGACCACCTCCCAGAATCCTTCTCTGTGGCATTCATCTAGGCTGAACAAGGCTGCACCACCTGGAAGGACTCTGAGTCAGAATGATTGGCTAAAGACAACCCGGAAACTAATCCTATCACCATAAAACACCGACACTGCAAGTGGCAAAGCTGTTCTCCTGGGCTCTCTTACCCTCCTGCTCTCCACCCGGGTGTCCTTTCCCAATCAAATCTCTTGCTTTGTCAGCATATGTGTCTCCTCGAACAATTCATTTCCGAGTGTCAGACAAGAGCCCAATCCTGCAACAAAACTAGTTTATATGAGAGAGGAACAGCTGGAGGGCAGGTGTGGCTGGAGTGGAGTGAAATAAGAAGAGTGGTAGGAGACAAGGTCTGCATTATGTAGAACCTGGATATCTACCGGGAAAATCTTAAGAGTTCATTCTGGGTGGGATTGGAAGCCATTGGAGGGTTTTCAACAGGAAAGCGCCATAATCTGATCAGGCTCTAGAAAGATCACTTGGGTTCTTGTGTTCAAAGTGGTGGGGATCGTGGTGGAGAAAGAGAGAAAGCAAATGATGCCAGAGAGAAGGCTGATGATACAGTCATCCATGCAAGAGAGGCTGGTGGCCTGGAGAAGATAGTGTGGCCGAGCTCTGATTGGAGCCTCAGAGAAGTGGTTCTAAAAATAACCATCTCATCAGAGCTGGCAAGACCTTTAGAAATCCTCAGACTAGGCAGGAGCTCTGGAGTCTATCAGTCCTGGACTGGAGGCCCAGCTCTACACATTCCAGCAGTGAGTCCTTGGGCAAGCTGCTATACCTCTCTGGGCCTTGGCTTCCCCACCTGTAAAATGGGTATAATAGGAGAGCTTGCTTCCAAGGGCTCTTAAGGACTCCAGTAACATGTAAATAAGGTACAGAGCACAGGGTGTGGCGCTTAGTAATCAGTCGGTAAAGCCATGACTGAACTCCCCACGTTTATTGATAGAGAAACTGAGGGTGACCCTGGCTTAGGGGCAGAAAACTGGAAGAGAAAGAAAGATTTACAGCGTTCCTCAAAGTCACATGTGTGTGTGCTTAGTCACTTAGTTGTGTCTGACTCTGTGACCCCATGGACTGTAGCCCGCCAGGCTCCTCTGTCCATGGAATTCTCCAGGCAAGAATATTGGAGTCGGTTGCCATTCTCTTCTCCAGGGGAATCTTTGCAACCCAGGGATCAAACCTAGGTCTCCTGCATTGCAGGCAGATTCTTTACATCTGAGCCAGCAGGGAAGTTCAAAGTCATAAACCCAGAGTCTAAAGACAAGACGAATGAGTAAAGTGGGCCAGGAACATGAAAACTCACGAGGCCCTGTTTGGCCATCTTGCGAGACACATGTAACGTAAGTGCTCACCTGAAAGGGCTGACCAGCACAGCTCCACCTGACTGCTGCCCCCTAGTGCCAGATACCCCATTTTCCTTTCCTTTTCTTTTTTTGGCTGTGTTGTGTGGCTTGAGGGCTTGTAGTTCCCGAACCAGGGATTGAACCCACACCCTCAGCAGTGAAAGTGTGGAGTCCTAACCAGTGGGTTTCAGGGGAATTCCCTCCCATTTTTCAAAAGAAGTCAGAAACTCGGATTTTTATGTAAAATCTCCCAACTTTAAATTACATTTTCTAATCACTTCTGGAGTACAGGAATGCAGTAAATTTTTATATATTTGTCTTGCTGTTACTTAAGCATCCTTACTATTATTTCCTCCTTTATAACCTAACACCATTTATTTTCCTTGCCTTGTTTCTTTGCTAGGCCTCCTACATAATGTTTAAGTCATGACAGCAGGCACCATGGTCTTGTTCCTGATGCAGAGGGAATGCCTCTTACTTCTCGATTGTAGGTCTTGAATTTCATAACTTTTAAAGGCTGGTTCATTTTTTCCAAACACTGTAAAAGTCAAAGTCTATCAACCTGTAGGCTGCCAATTTGTGATCTCTGTGTTACCTCAATTCTCTGAGTTGCATCAACAATCTCATTGGGTAGGTGCTATTAATATCATTCTTCCCATCTGACATATGAGGACCCCAAGGTTCAGAGAGGTGAAGTAACTTGCCAGTTACACAGCTGGGAAAAGGCAGCACCAGGATTCAAACCCAGATCCACCTGATGCCACAATCTGGATTTGACAAGCCTGGATGCCCAGGTGAGTTCCTCTTTCTACTACAGCCTGTCCTACAGAAGCTCTGTCATCAACTGAGTGACCCTTGACCATGGGCCTTCCCCTCTCTGGGCCCGAGTCTCCCATATGCCAGCCTAGAACAGATTTAGCTACGAGAACCCCAATATTGCCCCAGCCTCCTCACCTGCAGTCCAACTCCACATATTTTAAGTATTAGACCTGGTCTTGATATGGCCCTTGTTTGGGGGCCTGGCTCTGCCACTTACTGCTGTGTGACTTGGGGCTGCTTAACCTTGCCTTATCCTAGCTGTAAAATGTGATTAAAAGTAGCACTCACCTTAAAGTACTTAGGACACACCAGGCATGACCTAAGTGCCTAGTCAACTTTAGTCCTCATGATTATTGATAAGTGCATGCATGTGTACATTGACAGGAAAAAAAGAAAAGTATAATTTAAATAGTTGTATTAAGATGGAGATGTGGTTGTTCACATTTTTTACTGTAACAGTTACAACTTTTTAAAAAATGTTTAATGCCACCCATGATGCTTTCATTATAGAGAATAGAGAATATATTCATTGTAGAGAATAAAATTCCTTAAGCCAACATCCAAGGCTCTCTCTGATTTGACATTGACCCATATTTCAGAACAGCAGAGTGGCTAAGCGTACATGGAAGCAGGCCCCCCAGCTTGAATCCCAACTCTGACTTACTGTGTGTGTTTGGGCAAGAAACTCTGCCTCTCTGGGCCTCTGTTTCCTCACCTGTGAAATAAGAAAAGTGACAATTCTCACCTGATGGGGCTGAACTGATGTGACACAGAAGAGTTATAACACAGCTTCTATCACATGGAGGTTTGAAGAAATTAGTGATTATCATGATTGACCCACTTCCCCCAATCTCTGTCACTGTGACAGAGATGTCTCTGTCACCCCAGCCCCAGGCCTCGATCACTGTCACACCTCAAGGTCTTTGTTCATGCCCTGCTCTGCCTGACATGCCTTCTTCTATCTACCTCTGTGTAGTATCTACCTCTTCTTCTACCTACCATTAAACACTCTGTGTCAAGGCTACTTCCCCCTCTGAGACTTCCTGTCCCCACTAGTCCCTCCCCTGGCCCTTCTGACGGCTGGGCCAGGTACACTTACTGCCCTTACCTCCTCTGCTGCACAAGGCTGCCTCACTCATCCCTCCTACCGTATCACACCCTTTCCTGAGGATGTGGGGAAGTGGGCCTTGCTCTGAGCTCCAGCCACAGGCCCACACACAGATGTCTGAGGGGTGTCCTCTTCAGGGAAACTCCATGATCAGATTGTGCCTGACAGTCCTCTCGAATCCTGTCCTGTCCCATCTTGAGCCTCAGAGGCCTCTCCTGCAACTGAGGCAATGTGGCCCAGCAAGGTGGTGGTGAAGATAAATAAGAAAGCACTGGTCGAGGCCCCTTTTCTCCTCCCCGTCTCCCAAGGAACCTGGTGTGCCCCCCCCTCCCCACCGGACTCATTGGAGACGGGGAAAGGAATGCTGGATGCAAGGGTATCTATGGCCATTTAGAGATGGTCGTCTGGCTCTGGTTAGAGTTTCTGATCACAGAGGGTTTTAGGGTAAGACCCAGGATTCTGCATTTTCAAAAGTGAATTATAAACCCCTTCCTCGGGGGGTTTCCATGGGTCATGATCTAAAATAACTGTTCTGAGTGCATCAAACCTCTCTGTGGCTATTGGGGCAGGATAGTTGTGAGCGAGGAGCCAAGGGACCCCTCAGCCCCCACGTGCTTTGGAGGGGGGACTGCTGCCACCTAGGGGCTAAGAAAGAAGCTGCCAAAGGTAGGGCCTGAGCCATTTTTGTTAAAAAAAAACATTTATTGAGCACTTGTTCAGTGCTGGGCACTATGCCAAATTCTTTGCACACTTCATCATACTGGATCCTGATGACAGCCCTATGAGGTAGTACTGTCATAAGCCCCATTGTACAGATACGGAATGCGGGGCTCAGAGAGGTGAAGTGACTTACCCAAGGTCACACAGCAAGTAAGTGTCAGTGCTTGGATGTGAAGCCAGATCTGGCTGATAGCTGCACTCTAACCATGACACTTGAGTGCCTTCTACATGCCTACATTACAGAGTCATCTGGGGATGCTGGGAGGAACTGCATGTGAAAAGGTTCAACAAACAGATAAGGACTCCAACCATCTCAGGCCTCAGCAGCTTGCTTAGAGGCTGCCCCTTGGCAGCCTAGAGGAGGAGTGGATGGGACAGCCCTGTTTTCCCTCTTAGGCAGCCTGACCACCAGCCTGGACCAGCCAGACCCTGGGGCTGCTCAGGCTCAGCTGCCTCGGATCCCAGAATGGTGCAGGGCTTCCCAGCAGGACAGGGGACACAGCGAGGCGGCCTTGGGCCAGGGTTTACAGATGACATTCCAAAAGGATTTTGACCAATGGCTCACTTCCACTGGGAAGGCTCTCTGGTCTGCTCCCAGGGGCTCTGGACCTAAAGATGAGCATCAGGCAGGAGCAAACACTATGGCCCATCACTCCGAGGCCTGGATGTAGACGGGCACGGCGAGCATGGCACAGGAGCCCTCGGCCCCCGCCTGCAGCTCCGCCAGCGCCAGGTTGGAGCCCAGGCCTTCGGCATGCCCAGGCACTACCAGCTCAGGTTCGCCCCCCACTGTGCCCCCCACTACGATGGACAGCACGGCGTCTGGCTCCGAGAAGGGCGGCTTGCCTGGGGCGGCCTCGGGCACGGGCCCGGCCCCTGTGTCCTTCAGCTCCTCCAGCCCGAGCGGGTCGGGCAGGGGTGTCACCACCTTGTGCCCACCGCCGCTGCCGCTGCGGGGGGCTGCCCGCCGCCGGGGGGGCCGCCGGGCTTGCAGGTCCTTGTCCTTTTGGGGGCCGAGGCGGCAGCGGTGGTCCTTGAGGTATTTGTGGCGGGAAAAGCCCTTGGCGCAGCCAGCGCAGCGGAACTTGTAGTTGCCCGTGTGGGCACGCTGGTGCTCGGCGAGGTGGGCGCGGCGGCTGAAGGACTTGCTGCATAGGGCGCACTTGTGGAGCTTCATGCCTGAGCAGAGAGGGGAAGGCCGTGAGAGGCGCCAGACCCTTCACCCTACATGGCTGCCTTGGCACTTGGGAGTAAAACCTGCTTTCTCAGCCTGCCCTGTGAACAGGGGTGTGACCTGCGCCCTGCTCCCTCCAGTTACATCTCCCTCCTTCCCCCAGCCACTTCTCCTGTGCCAGCCTCCTGCCTCTGGGCCTCTCCACGTGCTATTTCCCTCTGCCTGGAACAGCAAGCTCAGCCCCCACACCGTGGCTAACTTTGCCAGGTCACCATCATCTCTCCCCTCTCTGGTTGGCCTGCCTCACCCTGGTCCCCTCACACCACCCCCCACAGGGCACCTAGTGAGGTCTTGGTAAAACTTCTCCATGACACTCCCTGCTCCAGACCCTCCAGTGATTCCCCAAGTTTCCCACGGAGCTGCGTGTAGCTGACCACCTCTTCACCTCTCAGCCCCTTCCCCTCCTCTCGCTCGCTCTCTGAGCTCCAGGCCCCCTGCCCACCGTTCCTCATCTCAAACACTCCCCAGCCTCTTCCCTGCCTCAAGGCTTCACACCTGCTGCTCCCTCACCCTGGAAGCCATTTCCTGGCTCTTTTCATCTCACTGTCCTTTTCATCTCTCAGACTCAGCTTTTCTGTCACCTCCTCCGAGAAGTCCTCCCTGACACCCACTTCTCTTTTATTTTCTGCCCTCTCACTCTGCTTATTTCCATCTTTGAACACAGCATATTTTAGTGTAATATACTTATTTGTCTGCTGTTTGTTTTTTATCTCTGCCACTAAATGCTAAGATTCCCAGGAGAGTCGGGTGTGGCTCTGCCTGACTCCCTCATGGCACCCCCAGTGCCTGACATGTGGTAGATTCTCAGTCATCACTCACTGGGTGAATCACTGGTGCCTCCATGTCCACGGTGGAGTCAACTCCATCCCACACACAGCTTGTGCCATGGCCCCCCCTCAGTTTCCCTGGAATGCAGGCTCAGAGAGGGGACAGAAACTTGCCTGAGGTCACCCAGCAGGACAGTGGTAATGCCAAGAATCCAACCTAGGCTCTTTGTCTCCAAGTCCACAATCTACTCTCCCATATTTCAAACTAGATCCTTTCTGGAAACCAGTGGTTGTTCATCAGGGGTGACTTTACTACCCAGGGATTTCTTGGCTTGTCCCCTGGAGACAGAAATGCTGCTGAACAATCCACAGTGCCCAGGGCAGATATCCACAACAAAGAATTATCCAAAATATCAATAGTGCTGACACTGAGAAATCGTGTTTTAGACCAAATGGTACATGAATGTGGGAAGCCAGCCAAGCTGCTCCAGTGAAGCAGCGCTCTTGGGGGGAGCTCTGTGGAGGCCCTTGGAAACTGAGGAGTGACGTGAAGACCCCTACTCCACATCCCAGCTGCCCTGCTCTGCCGAGGGGACCAAGGAACCTCTCTGGCCTTATCTTGGGCCCACTCAGAGTCGGATCTCCCTCCCACGTGACCCCACCTCTGTCACAGTGGGTGCCTCTCTGATACAGTCATCTCATGAGTCAGCCTCCTTCTCCACCTGGAGGCTGTGGCTGACTCACCTCTGTGCACCCTGAGGACCCAAACGGAGGCGGGGCTCATGGGAGCAAGAGTCTGGGGGCTAGAAGGTGTCACGCAGGGATACTAAGTCTCATGAGACATGCCTGCTCTTTCTGGGGTCCTGCCCAAGGGGCTCGAGCTGAACCAGACCTTCCTAGCAGGTCCAGGGGCCGCTTACCGGAGTGAGAGAGGATATGAGCCTTCAGCTTGTCTGGCCGATTGAACTCCTTACTGCAGCCCGTGTGTGTCCTAGAACCCAAAACACTGGTCAGGGGAGCGCGCTAAGCCCAGGACTCTCTTGTTGGCCACTCTGCTAGCCCTCATCTACCCTGGGAGCTGGGCAGGGAAGCAGGGTGGAGAGTGAGGCAGCCAGGCAGGACCCGGGACAGGACAAAAGGTGAGTGGGCCTTACGCCCTCAGCCCCGGCCCCTTTCCACCCCACAGCTGGTAAACCTGCCCCTCCTACCCAGGGTCATCTCTACTCACGAGAAGGGGCATTTGTATTTCTTGAATGGCTCGTGGATCAACATGTGTCTCTTCAGTTTGTCCTTGCGGTTGAATGCGGACTCGCACACTGAGCATTTGTAGGGCTTCTCACCTGCAGGAGGAAACCCCATTGGGGGGATCCAGGGTGCCCTGAGAGGGAGTCTGAATCTGGGGCACAGGGGTCCCCACCAGACAGCAGCAACTCCTTTAGAGAGGTGGCCTGGGGAAGACCTCTCTCTCCTTCCTCAGGACTTTGGGGGCTGCTGCAGTTAGGAGGGGCAGGAAAGGCCTCTCCAATGGGGCAACACCTGAGGTGAGCCCTGAGGGGGTGAGGGAGCGAGCCAGGCAGACATCTGGGAGTGAATCCAGGCAGGAGGAGAGGCGGGGTGCTGGGTGTGTCTGAGGAACAAAGTGGAGGCCGGTGTGGCCGGAAAAAGCAGGGAACAGAGCACGAGGCAGAAGAGGAAGTGGGCAAGGCAGCCACAACAGGGAGGGCCTGGAAAGCCAAGGTTTCTACTCTGAGCCGAACGAGAAGCCACAGCGGGGCTGAGCGGAGGAGGGCCAGGACCTGACTGCGTGAGGAGAGCAGACTGAGGGCGGTGCGGGCTCAGGCAGGAAGGAGGCAGGAACAAGAAATGGGAAGCGGCCAAGTACTGGTGATGCTGAAAGCAGAACCGGCAGCCCTTGCCAATGGACTGGCTGTGGGGAGGGAGAGGAAGAGAGTCAAGGACGAGCCTGAGGCATGGGTGACGTGTGAGTGACAGGGTGGACGGTCATGACGTTTACTGAAATGGGGTCCACTATACAGGAAGAGGGAAAGTGAAAACTGAAAGTGAAAGTCTCTCAGTCGTGTCCAACTCTTTGCAACCCCAGGGACTATATATAGTCCATGGAATTCTCCAGGCCAGAATACTAGAGTGGGTAGCCGTTCCCTTCTCCAGGGGATCTTCCCAACCCAGGGATTGAACACAGGTCTCCCACATTGCAGGTGGATTCTTTACCAGCTGAGTCACAAGGGAAGCCCATGGGACCGGGGTATTACATCTTATCTGATTGAATCCTTACAACAAACCATAAAAAGTCCTCAATGAGAAAACTGAGGTTCATGGTGTATACTTAGCGTTTGGGGGAACTAAGATTCCATAGCTCAGCACTATGGCCCGGAGCCCACTTGAGTCGCCCCAAATCGTCTGCTGCAGATTCCATGGGTGGGGCTGGTGGAGGTGGGGCATGGGGAGCAGCTCTCGTCTGACAGGGGTCGGGAGTCACAACCTGCCCTTTGGAAAAGGTCTATGACTGGGCCGTTTTATTTCCTGCCATTATTTCCTCTCTGTCCTCCTCTCTTAAGATGAATAAGTACTTTTGAAAAATGCCAATCCAGTGACTGAGGTAATTCTGATCATTACAATGGAACGGTCTGCAGTCATTAAAAAGGTTAAGGTGTGGGAAGGAATTCTGTATCAAGAAGAGTGGGCCCAGTCCCAGGGGCTCAGAATGGTCTCAAAGGGATGATTCCTAGAGGCAGAGCCAGGAGTCCCTCCACCAGCCTCCAGAGGCTCATCTCCACTCCAGTGTTGGTGGAACCTCTTGTTCCCTTGAGATGGCAGGTAGGCAGGGGGCCAGGAAGGAGATGGGGATGAAGAGAAGGGAGGGGATGGCCAGGAAGGTGCTGAGGAAGAAGGCTGAAGGAGCTGGGAGGGAAGGCCAGAGGGGGATGGGAAGGGGAACAGAGAGGGTGTCTGGGGGAGGGCAAAGGGGACTGAGCAGAAGTTGCTGGGGGGTGGGTACCCACCTGAGTGGATGTGAGCATGCAGTTTGAGGTAGTGCTCCCGTCGGAAGAACTTCTTGCACACCTGGCACTTGAACCTGCCTCCGCTGCCGTGGGTGGGCAGATGACGCCGCAGGTACCGTTCACAAGGAAATACCTGGCAGGACAGAGAAGTCGGCGTCAGGTCTGACTCACCACCCTCACCACATTAGGAGCTCAAGGGGGGCCTCATTACCAGCCCTTACAGAAACACATTCCTTTCTTCCCACCAGGGGTCAAGGCTCACAGTGTCCAGCTCAGTCATTAGAACCTCATGGCTCCCACTACTCACCCATAAGACCAGTCAAGACAGGCCTGCTCTGAGCTTCTGCCCAGGCTGTTGTTTCTACCCAGAGAGACTTTTTCTCTTAGCAGGAAACAAACTCCTACTCCTCCTTTAACACCCAACTCAGGTCACTGCTTCCGTGAAGCCCTCCGTGACTTCTCAATGCCACACATTCAATGCCTCGAAAGTCCATACTTTTAAAGTTAGCATCTAACCTATTTGAATAACAGCCCTTTGCTTACACGAGATCTCCCAGAGGGCAGAGAGGGGCTCTCATTTCCCAGCACAGGGCCTGAGTTAAATGACTAACAAGCAGGGGAATGAATGAAGAAATGAACACATAACTGAAGAAATAAATGGAAAGGTAATAAAAAGCCAGAAAACCCGGAAACCAAAATCTCCTTCCTCCTCAGGCATAGGAAGGACACTCATTCATTTTTTTCATTCATCTGATACAGATACATGGTCAAGGACACAGACCTAACTACTTACTCACTCCATCATCTCCTAGCTGGATGATCTTTCCGTGACTTGGTTTCCCTGTCTGTAAAATAATAGTATGCCAGCCTCCTAGGGTTAAATGAGTCAGTTTCAAATAGAAGGCTCAGAACTGCATCTGGCACAGAGTTCTTGCTAATTCATGATACCTTTTATTCAGACCACAAATTCCAAACCCCCAAATTAAGGCTGTAAAATTAGAAACATCTACAATGAGGCCGAAGTGAAACCAGGACTGTCTGTCCTGGGAAATCTGCCATGTAAGGTGGTAAGAAAATGAGAAGAACAAAGAAACCAGTTAGACACACCAGGGGGTGCAATCAGCAAAATCCAGACTTCAGGAAACGCCACAGGACTGAAGGCCCAGCTTCTTCAACAAATTCATTAAAAGAAAAAAAAAAAAGAGCATTGATGGGGGAATCTGTGGATTAATAGAAACTGTGGTCGGATCAGCCAATCATAACATATGGATCTGATTCAAACAAACTTTACAAAACTTATGTTTTGGGGAAAAGTAAAAAATAGAACCCTGACTGTATTTTTGATGGGTGTGAAGGGTGTGAAGGGCCAGGCTTTAGTGAGACCTTCCAGATCCACTGAAAAAAAGAACTGATAATAACCAGGATAATAAGGCATCAGCAAGTTGGAGGCTGCTGTCTGCATGCTGGGCCTGGGCCCAGGAGAGACCTCTCTCCACAGCCTGCCCGGCCCGCCTGGCCCCAGTAGCAGCCCCGGGCCAGCCAGGGTGGGTGACCAATTGGTAAGACGGGCCAGGCAGAGCTCTCACTCCTCAAGAAGTGCTGTCTACAGAGACAACCCCAAGCTTGGCCTGCACATGCTGAGGCAGGAGGGGAGGAGACGGTGGGGTCTTTGCGCCACCACCTATCGCCCCCTACTTCCGCCTCGCCAGAAAGGGCAGGGGTCCCCACCTTTTGGCAGTGCGGGCAGGGGAAGTTGTGAGTGGCGGTCTGCAGGTGATGCTCCAGCGCCTCAGGTGTGGAGTACTTGTTGACACATTTGACACACCTAAATGGGGAGGAGCAGAGAGGTGAGAGAGCATGCACCGGGCTGGAGGCAACCAGTCACACCCCTCCTCCACCATCACTGGTTAACAAACCCGCAAAACAGCAGTTTCAGGCCACAAGCCACACTAAAGAAAAGACCCCACAGTCTTCCCACCACGAAAACAGTGGCCAGCAAATGGGCCCATTTACAAAGCAGTACCAATGAGGAAAGCTAGAGGCAGGTGGGCAATTCATGCTAAAAACAGAACTGTGGGCCCTGCCATCTGTACACCAGGGCCACGGTGGGAAACCCACAGCCAAGCTGCACCTGCGGTGGGACCAGTGGACTCCCCCTCGGGGCACACCCTGAAAACCACAAGCTAAATGCCTGCAGATGGCAAGAAAGAAGGAGGGGATGGGGTGGGAGCCGTGCTACCAGGAGGGCAGAGGCTTTGTGAGCTGGTGGGAGGAAGATAGGAATGGCTCAGGCTCTGGTGGCAGGAGGCATAGGTTTGCAGGGGAGGCAGTTTCGCAAGACCATTAAAATGAAAACTCCCTGCCAGACATGCCACCCTAACTAAGTCATGCAAGGTAACATGCCCAGCAATAGCGCAAACCCATGTCGTGTGTCTCCTGATACAACGTGCTGAGAAAGGCACAGCATCACTTTGTGATGCTCCTGCCAAAAGTGTCTATCCTGGACCAACCCTGAGGTCAAATCAGACAAATCCAAACTGAGCGCATTCTACAAAATACCTGGCTTCTACTCTCCCAAAATACTAAGGTCATGAAAGACAAAGACAGAAAGAACTGTTTCAGCAAAAAGAGGACTGAAGAGACAAGGACAACCAAATGCAGTGTGTGATCCTGGGTTGGACCCTGGGACCAGAAAAAAGTTTTTTCTTCATCTATAAAGGATCTTATTGGAAAAACTGGAAATTTTTGCATAAGGCCTATAGATGAGATAACAGAATTATATTGATTTAACTTCCTGATTTTGATAACTACACCATGCTTTTATGGAAGAGGCTATCCTTGTTTTTAGAAAATAAACATGAAAGAGAAAAGGTAAAGGAGCATCGTGTCTGCAAATCATTCTCAAAAAGCTTAGAATGTGATGCAGCCAGTGTGGTTAGTATTGTAATACCTGGGAAATGTGGGTGAAGGATGTGTATGGGAATTCTTTGTACTATTCGTATAACTTTTTTAGAAGCCTGAGGTTATGTCAAAGTAAGGTTTTTTTAAAAAATATTTATTTATTTATTTGGCTGCAATGGGTCTTAGTTGCAGCATGCGGGATCTCTAGTTATGGCATATAGAATCTAGTTCCCTGACCAAGGATTGAAGACCCTGCATTGGGAGCTCAGACTTTTAGCCACTGGAACACCAGGGAAGACCCTCAAAGTAAGTTTAAAAGAAACACTTCTTGAAAGCGATTGCCTGTGGGATGCAGAAGTGGGTCAGGATGGATAGGGAATTCCTTTTCATTCTATGCGCTTCTGTAGTTTTAAAATACTGCATTGTATGCACATAAATTTAGTTTTTCAGGTAGTAATTAATCTTTTGCAAACCCCTCTTTGACCTGAAAAATTACTTCTAGTTGTTGTCCCCTGTAATGTTGTTTATAATAATGACAAACTGGAAATAACCCAATTAACCCGTAGTACGGGACAGGTTAAATAAATTGCAGCCTATCCATGTATAATGGAATGCGAAGGTCTCCTCTCTGAGCCTCAATGTCCTCATTTTTGCAATGGGGAGAACACCACAGCTATGGGCAGAACTAGCTTCCTCCAAAATCCATATGGTGAAATCCTGACCCCTAGTGTAATGGTATTTGCACATGGGGCCTCTGGGAGGTGCTTAGGTCTAGGTGAGATCATGAGTGTGGGAGCCTCCAGATGGGATTAGTGCCTTATAAGAAAAGAGCAGGGACTTCCTTGGTGGTCCAGTGGTTAAGAATCTGCCTTCCAACACGGGAAACGTGGGTTCAATCCCTGGTCAGGGAACTCAGATCCCACATGCTGAGGGGCAACTAAGCCCACGCGCTGCTACTACTGAGCCACGTGCTCTGGGGCCCGTATGCCACAACCAGAGAGAAGCCCACAGCACTACTAGAGAGAAATGGCACAGTGAGGAACCCTCAGGCTGCAACAAAAGAACCTGATGCCACAACCAGGACCCAACGCAGCTACAGAAGGAAAGAAAGAAAACAAAAGACCAGAGAGAAAGGGCACCCTCTCTCTCTTGTGTGTCTGTAATATTTTGTTATAGCCACCTGAACTGACAGATACAACCTACCTCCCAGGAAGGCAGGGCTCAATGTCCCTAAGTCAGGTCAAGGCACCTTGCAAGTACTCCCTTCCTTTTAGTTGGCATCTCACTCCAGAGAGCCACACAGCTACAGGGACTCCTAGAAATTCCACAGATTGGAAGGGCAAAAGCAAGTGCTCTCTACAAATGGGAATTACTCATTGTTACCTAGAAATCACCCCTTAGCTGGTCAGAGTTCACCTGGCTTTCCTGCCTCTTGGGCCCTATTTCCCAATCTCCCCCAGGGTCAGATGCCCTCTACCCTATTTCTTGAGCCCCAGTCCCCCTGCCAGCTTCTCAAAGCTCCTGTGATTTCTACAAGATCCTCAGGCCCTGGACCCCACTTTCTCTCCCAGGCCCCATCTAAACATCTCCTCCCACTTCCATTCTACAGGAACAGTCATTCTAAACCACGTGCTATTTTATTTCCTATCTTTATACTTGCTGTTCCTCCTGCTAGGAAGGTACTCCTGGCCATCCACTGTCTACCTGGCAAACTCCTACTCATCCTTCAAAACCCAGTTCAGATATCACTGCTCCTGGGATACTTTCCCTTGCCCTACCTCTCACCATGAGTATATATGTCTATGACAGCATTTTATCACAGCATATAGTAAGAATACATACACTCCTGTCTCTCTAAGCAGTCCATGCATTCTAGACTCAAAGTCTGTATTTACTTATTTCTGAACCCCAGAAGCCTCACCCAGTAGCCAGAGGTGGGCCAGGGTTGCGGTGGGGGGTGCATTAACAGAGGTCATCAGCCAGTTCCCTGCAGATACAAGTCTGCACAGAGAAGCAAAACCATTCTAACATGAAAATATCCACTAATGAACAAGAAGAAGCCCCTGGGCAAAAACTCCTATTTTTTTTCCCCCACTAATACCTATCCCCATGCACTACGTTCTGGGTTTTGTGAGGCAGCCGCTCCCAAATGACATAAGGCTAATGCACAGCGAAATGAATGGAGAGCAACAGTGAAGGGTTCCTCCAAGTCATGGAAGTGATGCTGGACAATACCATTAACAAATGGGACTCTGGAGGAGGAAACAGAAAGCTCTTGAGGAAGGGAAACTCTATTAAATTTTAAATATCTATTTTTTTTGTTAAAATGATTATTTTACATACTCATTATGTAGAAAATACTGAAAATACAAGCTACTTTGTAAAACCAAAGACAAACATTGAATCCAAAGATAAACTATGTTTTACACAATGGTCGGAAGGGAAACTCTAAAAGGATGAACACAGGCTCAGTAGCTCCAACGAGAATGACGGGAACAATTACAAGATCAATGGATCCAAAGAGAATAATCGGAAGTTCTAAGGACTAAAAGCATATGGCAAAACAGAGGGAGCCCTTCATCATTTCTGCTAAAGGGACCTTCTTTATGACTGAAACAGAAGACTACAGTCATGTAAAGGGTTGTCAGAAAAATTACCCCCAATAAAATATGCATTTAATTCATTCCTTGTCCCATTCTAAGAATCAGCATATAGCTCCAACTTTAACCTAAATTTTATAGATTATAAAACATACCAATCTTACTTTTATGATTTTTGCTTTCAAATACACGCCTGTGCATTTTTTCATTTAAGAATCATTGTAGGATTTCCCTGACAGTGTTGTGGTTAAGAATCCATCTGCTGATGAATGCAGGACTCAGGTTCAGTTCCTGGTCCAGGAAGATCCCACATGCCATGGGACAACCAAGCCCATGAGCCACAACTATTGAAGCCCGAACCCCAGAGCCCATGCTCTGCAACAAGAAAAACCACCACGATGAGAAGCTTGAACACCGCAACTAGAGAGTAGCCCCCACTTGCCACAACTAGAGAAATCCTGTGCTCAGCAACCAAGACCCGGTGCAGCCAAAAAAAAAAAGTTAAAAAAAATCAGTGTACCATTCTAAGTGTAATCTAAATTGTGTAGATTATCAGGCAAAATACTATTTTCATAATATTTTACTTTAGGGAAAAACAAATCTTTTTTCCACTATGAACAAGGAAAAATCAGCTTCCCTTTTTTAAGATTTTTTTTTTTTTTTAGGTTGCATGTCTGCCAAGTTGAAGAATGATACAAGGAGGGCCCACATTTTCTGCCCCCTCAGTGCCAAGGCACACAACCCACTCCCCCAGGCTGGACCCTGAAGCCTCAGATTCCCCTCTGAGATGTCCCACTGGACCTGAGCAGTCGGAACCACCAAGGGAACAGACCCCTGGGCTTCCTGCGCGGAGTGGGAAGGGGGATCACGTACTTGTAGACGGCGCTGTCCTTCTTGGGGCTGTGCTGTGGCAGGAGGCTGTGTGAGTACTGATGCACGCCCAGGTCGTACAGCGAGGGGAAGTCCTTGCCACAGAGGTGGCAGCGGTAGCTCAGCTCCTCCTGGTGGCTCTTGATGTGCTCCAGGAACGTGTCCAGCTTCGGGAAGGTCTGCGCACAGCTCTTGACCACACATTTGTATACCTTGGGGGAAGAGGCAGGGCAGGTGAGGGCAGGCTGGAGAGCCGCCTCCACTGTGGTCCCCGGTCCTGTGATGTCCACCTCCAACACTGCTCATAGAAGACCCAGCTGCTGTTCCCCTGCTCCTCTGCTGCGGGAGCCCTGGATTTATTATTATTTTTTCTTCATTCATTATTTTTAACTGAAGGATAATTACAATATTGTGTTGGCTTCTGCCATACATATTATTTTTTTAAAATTTATTTATTGTTTAACTGGAGCACAATCACTACAATGCTATGTTCGTTTCTGCTATACAACAATGTGAATCGGCTCTATGTATGTCAACCACAAATTGGCACCTGCCACGGGCACTTGCCATCTACCTCTACAAGGATTAAATCATGTGCTGCTACAGCTGACCCACCCCCTGAAAGGAGTTCAGGGTGGACAGCAGAAATGAGGCACTCTGTGCTTGAGGAAAAACTAGTAGGACAGGTCTTCAGGTATCTTTAGGAGCTGATTTTATGAGCCTAATTCTTGTATCTCCCTATATTTGGAAAAGCACTAAAATCCTTCATGGTGATGACTGTTCCTCGTGACTAGCAAAAGCTTCACAAGCCTAGCGGAAACCTTCTGGAAAAAAATATGTGCTTGATTGTACTCTCTCTTCACCAAAATCTCATAGATACTGACCTTTCCCTCCCTGCCTCTTTGGAGCAGTTTCTCAAGCTATGTGAGGTGCTGCCTCCCGCACTGCCCTCATTTTGCCCCTAATAAAACTCAACTCTCAGGTTGTGCATTTCTTTTTAAGTCAACATGTATATGTGTATTCCCTCCTTCTTAAGCCTCCCTCCCACCCTACCCCATACCATACCCTAGGTCGTCACAGAGCACCGAGCTGAGCTCCCTCGCTGTAGACAGCTTCCCACGAGCTATCTATCTCACACATGGCAGTGTATACATGTCAGGGCTACTCTCTCGATTTGTCCTACCCTCCTCTTCCCCTGCTGTGTCTACAAGCCCGTTCTCTACATTTGCATCTATATTCTGCCCTGCAAATAAGTTCATCTGTACCATTTTTCTAGATTCCAAGAAATGTAAATTAAAACCACAATGAGGTACCACTTCACACTGGTCAGAATGGCCATCATCAAAAAAATACACAAACAATAAATTCTGGAAAAGGTGTGGAGAAAAGGGAACCGTGTTGTACTGTATGTACTGGGTACACTTGAGAAAAATTATCCAAAACCTGCAATGATAACATCTTGAAAAGATGGCATCCTATCCTTTCAACATTATGCGAGAATGGTGGCTCTCCAACTCGAGCCTGCACCACAGTAACAGAGTGGCCACTTCCAGGGAATCTGACGCAGCAGGCCTGGGTGGGCCTGAACATGTGCATTCCTGCCAAGCACCCAGGTGATGCTGAAGCTACTGGGCTGGGGACCTCACTTTGAGAAGTGCCATCTGGCAAGCAGTTAGGTGAAGACAGTTAAGCTGCTAAGGGTCACCTCACTCTCTGGGTGATATCACTTGTTTTGACTGTTTATTACTGATCAGAACCTAGACTCTCTAAAGTTAAATGTTAACTTGTAGAAAACTGATCCAATGTAAATTATTTTTTGTTGTGTAGAAAAGATAACTCCAGTGGGTTTTGTGGTTTTTTTTTTAACTCCAGAGGTTTTATATGCCCTGAAGGACATAAACCAGATTTGTATCTAACTTAGTAATCTTATTTCAGGATTCCTTTTTTTCACTGACACAGTTACACAGAGATATAGGTATTAGTGTTCCGTATCATCTTTTGACCGGCTTTGTCATTTTTCCAGTTCCCCCATTAATGAATTAAGCAAAATTCTGATTCAAGTTCACTGTTATTTGTATGAAAGATACGCTTTTAACATTTTAAAAGGTATACATTAGTAAGTAGTACACACTCCTCATGGGGCTTCCCAGGTGGTACTAGTGGTAAAGAACCCATCTGCCAAAGCAGGAGATGTAAGAGACACAGGTTTGATCCCTGGGTTGGGAAGATCCCCTTGGAGGAGGGCATTGTGACCCACTCCAATATTCTTACCTGAAGAATCCCATGAACAGAGGAGCTTGGCAGGCTACAGTCCACAGGGTCGCAAAGAGCTGGACATGACTGAAGTGACATAGCACATATGCACGCACACACTCTTCCTCATAGGGTTGTGAGACAGTCACAGTCGTATGACACACTCAGGGTTGCCTATACAATTCCAACCCTTCTTCCTAACAAAGTGAACCCTGATTTGCTCAGAGTGGCAAGATGCCCAGTTAAAACACTTGATCCCCTGGCTCCCTTACATCGACTGTCAGTCATGCGACCGTTTCTTGCCAATGGTATGTAGGCAGTAATTTGGGGGAGGGCATCACTCCCTGGACACAAAGGCAAAAGCTTCCTAGGAGAAGTTCCCTTTTGTTTTTGCATTTATCCTAACGTGATGTGATGTGATGACTGAAGGTATGACAGCCATTCTGCAATCTTGAGGATGAAAGCCACATGCTAAAGATAGCAGAGCATAAAGCCAGGAGAATCCTACTAGACAAACCCAATACTACCTACTTATGGACCTCTTATGATGTGAGAGAGAAAAAAAAATCCTAACCAGTAAGCCAGTTGTCTATTACTTGCAGCCTAACAATGCATTTCTAAATGATAAAGCAGGTGCATGGGCTCTGACCAATGAGAGGGCTACAGAAGGCTTCTGGTCAAGGTTTCCTTGCTCCTAAAGAAGATACAGAAGATATTATTAATATAACTTCTTTATGTTCATGGATAATACTGTGTCTGATCTTCTGCCTAGAAAAAGTGACCACTATCACAGGACCACAGGTGGACCACCAGCAGAGGACAGGGCCATGCTCTAAGACAGTGGAGACAAGAGTTAGAAAGACACAGGGCGCTTGATGCGGGGTTGAGTCAACTGACTGTCCCAGGCCTGAGTTGCCCTATCTTGGGTTTTCTTATTATGTGAGATAACAAACTTCCTAATTGTTTAAGCAAGTTTGAGTAGAAGTTTTTGGTGATTTTTTCCCCCAAGGATAGCCTAACTTAACTCCATCAATCTCTCTGCTAAGAATCTATAATAAGGAAAAAGTCAGAGATGTGGACAAAGATTTGATTACAACAATATTCATCACGGTTTTGTTTATAATAGCAAAACTCAGGAAATAACCTAAACGTCCAATAATAAGGGATTTAAAGAATGCAGCCATTGGGACTTCTCTGGTGGTTCAGTGATGGGACTCTACGCTTCCACTGCAAGGGGCACGAGTTTGATCCCTGGTCAGAGAACTAACATCACACAAGCCATGTAGCATAGTCAAAAAAAAGAAAGAAAGAAAGGAAATCTACAAAACATACTGCATTGAGTGCTGGATTCCTGGGAGGACATATTGTAAGCTGGTTATGACAAGGGGTTTGGAGTCAAACAAAGTGGCTTTGAATCCTGCCTCAGTTACTTGCTGGCAGTGTGACTCTGGATGGATCACTCATCTCGCTGAGCCTCAGTTTCTTCATCTGGATACACTGAAAATGCCTATCTCTAAGGTTGCTATGAGAAATAAGAAAAGTACTGAATGTAAGGAACCTTAGCAGGGTTGTTATTCAGTCCTAAGTTGTGCCTGACTCTTTGCCACCCCATAGACTGTAGCCCACCAGGCCCCTCTGTCCATGGGATTTCCCCGGCAAGAAGACTTCAGTGTGTTGCCAATTCCTTTTCCAGGGATCTTCCTGACCCAGGAATACAACCTGTGTCTCTGTACTGCGGGCAAATTCTGTACTATTGAGCCACCAGGGAAGCCCTCTAGCAGGGTGCTTAGCATATAATAAATAGTAAATGTGAATCTATATATTTTTCAGACTTTTCTGAATTTCCCAATTCTATATTGGGTATATAATACTTTAACAGGGAGAAAAAATAACTAACAAAAATTATTTTTAAAAAATAAACACCGGAATAGAGTTACCATATAACCTAGCAATTCCACTCCTAGGTTTATACCCAAGAGAACTGAAAACACATGTTCATACAAAAACTTGTACAGAGTGATCACTAAAGTATTATTCATAATAGTTAAAAAGTAGAAAGAACCTAAATGTCTATCAACTGATAAAAGAATATTCAAAATGTGCTATATTCACACAATGAAGAATTATTCAAAAATAAAAAGGAATAAAGTACTGATACATGTTACAACATGAATGCAAAAGGCCACATACTAGATGATTCCAATATCAAATGTCCAGAATAGGTAAATCGATAGAGACAGAAAATGGGTTAGTGGTTGCCTGAGTCTGGGAGTAGGGGCTAGTGAACACTAATGGGTATAAAGTTTCTGGGGTGATAAAAATGTTCTAGAAATAGAGGCGTGATGGCTGTATAACATTATGAATAGATTAAAAACTACTGAAGCGTATACTTTAAAACGGGTGAATTTTATGGTATGTAAATCACATGTCAATTGGAAAAAAAAAAATAGGCTGTAGTCTCAAATCCCCATAGGTGGGTTTTTACATACTAGATCTTCTCAAAGTGTTAAGAATTCTTCCTGTGTCTGATTCCTTCATTATATGACCCTTGAGAGGTGGACTTCCTCCCTCAGGCAAGCACCATAGTGGCCCAAAAAGCTGGCACCAGGGACTTCCCTGGTGGTCCGGTGGCTAAGACTCCGTGCTCCCAATGCAGGAGACCCAGGTTCATTCCCTGGTCAGGGAACTAGATCCCATATGCTGCAACAAAAGATCCCCTGTGCTCCAAATAAGACTTCGTGCAGCCAAATAAATAAATAAAATATTATTAAAAAAAAAAAAAAGCTGGCACCACCCAGGGAGGATAGACGGGGAAGCTTAGCCCACTATTACAAGGCAGCTCAGAGCAACCGGGGCCCACTCCTGTCCCTTTCGAGACCGTGTTCAAGACCCCAGCATCCGCCAAGGCTCATGACTCGGGTGGCTGTGCCCCACCCCTGCTCCCGCCCGCTCACCTACCTGCTCATTCTTGTGCTGGGTCATGTGGGACTTGAGCTGGAAGTAAGTAGTGAACTTGCTGGGGCAGAACTGGCACAGGTAGGAGCTATCGATGAGGACCACCTGCTTGGCCTCCAGCTTGTCTGCCTCCCCCTCACCGGCTGTGGGCAAGGCCTGGGGCTGCGGGGCGCTCGACAGTGTCTGGCCCAACCCTGTGGAGAAAGCCAGGGAGGCAAGTCACTGAGAAAGGCAAAGGAAGGGTCAGGGCAGAGGGCCACGCCCCCCCGGAAGGAGTCCCAGGACACCTTCCCTGCGCTCCACTGCGTTCACCTCCCACCAACCATGGGCTCAGTGTGGGACGTAGGACCGAGGCCCTGCACTCACACTCAGCTGGTGTGCAGAGACACAGCCACCCCAGGGGCCAAACTACTGGACACTTACATTCTGAGGGATGAAGAGCCACCGCCTCAAGTCTCCCCTTGCAGGCCTTCCCCTCAGACACTCTAGACCGCTCTGTGGTTGTTAACGACCCTGACTGCCACCCCCAGCTGAACTCACGATGCCTCCCAGCTCCTCGTACAATCATGCGTTTAGCTGTTCCCCCCTCACTCTCCCTGAAGACAGGGGCTTCTGACCTCACGTTTGTAGGCCCAGGGCCTGGCACACAGTGGTGGTGGTGGTTTAGTTGCTAAGATGTATCCACTCTTTGCAATCCCACAGACTATAGCCCACCAGGCTCCTCTGTTCATGGGATTTCTCAGGCAAGAATACTGGAGTGTGTTGCCATTTCCTTCTCCAGGGGATCTTCCCAACCCAGTGATCAAACCTGAGTTCCCTGCTTGGCAGGCAGATTCTTTACCATTGAGCCACCTGGGAAGACCCCTGGCACACAGTAAGCCTCCATAAATGTTTGCTCAATGGTTGAACCCTAGGTGCTACGCACTATAAGAGTTTTGAAAGAAATGGGTTCTTCTCCAGAGCTCAAAAGAATTCAGAAGGCATGCACAGAATGGCTCAACACAGTAGGGCCAGTTCCCACTGGCAGGCCAGAGAAAAGTGGGCATATATTGCTTGTACAGAACACCCCCTCTGTGAGCTGCCCATGGCCGGCTCTGCTCATCCCCAGGGCTGCACAAGGAGGCTCCAGCCAGGCACTGCCCAGTACAATGGTCACTCCTACCCACCTGTGTTATCCTCGTCCTCCTGCCTGCTGGGGTTCAGAGCCATGACCTGTACCGTCACAGAGTTGCGAGAGACGGTGCCACCGCTGGGTCCTGGAGGCCACACCTTGTGGGTCTGCATGTGTTTCTTGACGTTAGACTTCTGGGCAAAGGCGCGGCCACATGCTATGCACTGGAAGGGCTTCTCACCAGTGTGGCTGCGGAAAACAAGGCTTGTCAGCACCCGCATGTAGGGACTGTGACCTCAGTCCAGGAGCTCAGAACCACCAGGAAGGCCCAGGCAGAGCATCTGGAGGCTGTGGGTCACCATCCTGAGACCGTGAGGACGAGCCCTCTTACTGAGGCAGGCAAGCACAGACACACCCCAGGCTCCTGGTGACAAGACTGAACAGCTGAATTAGCCAGCCTTGGAGTGGACCTTCTCTGCGGCCATCTCAAGCTGTGAGATAAAACAGTTCCAAAGAATTGATGTTTTCAAACTGTGGTGCTAGACTCTTGAGAGTCCCTTGGACAGCAAGGAGACCAAACCAGTCAATCCTAAAGGAAATCAACTCTGAATATGCATTGGAAGGACTGATGCTGAAGCTGAATCTCCAACACTTTGGCCACCTGATGCAAAAAGACCCTGATGCTGGGAAAGACTGAAGGCAAGAGGAGAAGGGGACGATAGATGCTGAGACAGTTGGATGGCATCACTGATTCAGTGGACATGAATTTGAGCAAACTCTGGGAGATGGTGAAGGACAGGGAAGCCTGCCGTTCTGCAGTCCATGGGGTTGCAAAGAGTTGGACACAACTGAGTGGCTGAACAACAATTGTTTAAATGGAGAATTTTCTGTTATTTGAAGGAGAAAACATCCTAGCCGTCACCACACAGCACTTGTACAAATTTTTAAAACTTTCCTTCAAATCAATGCACTTTTTAAGAACTTAAAATAATTAAAAATGAAGCTTCCTGTTGTTACTATATATGCAAAACCGCTTGTCATAAACACAAGTAACAAAAAATGCAATTATTCATAAAACAATCTTCTTAAGAGCTATAGATGCATCATCCTTATGGCAGACATAAACCACATGGGACTATTTAAATTTAAATTCATTAAAATAAAATCAAGTTAAAAACTCAGTTTCAAAAAAAAAAAAAAGCTCAGTTTCTCAGGCTTCCCTGGTGGCTCGGTAGTAAAGAATTGCCTGCCAATGCAAGAGACACGGGTTTGATCCCCGATCTAGGAGGATCCCACATGCAGCGGAACAACTAAGCCCAGGTACCACAGCTATTGAGCCTGGGCTCTAGAGCCAGGGAGCTGCAACTACTGAAGCCCCAGTGCCCCAGAGAGCCTGTGCTCTGCAACAAGAGAAATCACTGCAAGGAGAAGCCAGTGCACCACAACTAGAGAAAAGCCTGCCCAGCAACAAAAACCCAGCATGGCCAAAAATAAAGTTACAAAAATTTTCAAATTACAAATTATTTTTTACTGTAAAAAGTTACAAATTTTCTTTTACAAAAAAGTTTCTCGGTCATACCAGTCACATTTCAAGTACTCAACAGCCATATGTCCACCGCCCTGTGGCCTACTGGGGTCTCTCCATCTCTGCAGAAAGTTCTACTGACAAGCACTGGTTGTAGACCAGTGGTTTTCAACAGAAATCGATTTTCCCTCCTGGGACATCTGGAAATGTTTGAAGATGTTTTGGGTTGTTACAGCTGAGGAGTGAGGGGGGGCTATTGGCATCTAGTGGTTAGAGGTCAGGAATGTTGAACATTCTTCAAGGCACAGGGCAGCCCCCACAGAAGGAATGATGTGATCTAAGACATCTCAATAGGCTGGTAGACCCTGGTCTACAGAGAAGCTATTGCCCACCATGGCTGGAATCTTGGGCACTCTCTCTCCCTCCCTTCCCCCTTCTCTCTCTGTTATAATGAGCAAAACTGTACGAGGTGTTAAAGACAGACCACACCTAACTGAGGCTTTCTCCTCTGAAAGAAATGGAAAAAGTTTTTCTCACTATATCTTTTAGAAATTTTCAACACCCATATCCACAAACCACCTAAAGTCATTTCACATCCCAGTGTTCCACTCTATGAGAAACATCGAACAAGATCACCCCTCCACTTCACAATGGAAAACCTGAGGCCCAGAGGGGCTCCTTGCATGTTCTTGAGACAAGCGGTGTCATGGTTAGTCCTGAGCGAGCAGAGAGCTTGCAGAGGCACGTTCACAGAGCATCGCTAACCCCGAGGTCAAGCCTTTCTACAGAAGTGAGGGCTGAGGCACGCCTCCCACCTGCAAAGCCTCTAGCCATTCAAGTCAATTCCGCCTCCTCCATTCCCACCTTGGACCTTCCTCATCATGGCAGGCAGGCTCCACAGATCCTTCCCACTGAGGAAGAAAAGGGCAAAATCATCCTGAGCTGGATGGAAGGCCTGAGAACCATGACAGACCAGTTGGGGCCTTGGTCACCACCAGGCGAAGGGGGTGGGGAAATGAGCACTGCTTCCACTGTGGATTCCCCATCCTGCCTCCCCGCCAGGACTGCCCAGGGGCCACCTGCCCCACTACGCCCGGTTACCTTCGGATGTGCTGCTGCAGGTCAAAGTTTTTGGTGAATGACTTGTCACAATATGAGCACTTGAGTTTCTGAGCCTTTGGCTTCCCTGCAGCTGATGAAAAATAAAAAAAGACACACAGAAAAAGACAAAGAAGGGGATGGTAAGGCTGGCAACACAACTGAAGGGCAGCTTCCAGCCACTTTACCCCTAGACCCAGGGCCAGACAGCCCAAATCCTAGGAGGTCTACATCCATGGACAGGTTGGGGAAGAAGCAGAGCTAAGTTTCTCATAGGGCCTGGGAGAAGAAATTCCAGGACACGCTCTGACTGGGAAAGTAGGGCAAACCCCTCAAAGACTCCCTGCTGCTGGAGGATAAAATCCATCCTCTCTGCCGTGGCCTATGGGGCTCTGCATCCTGTACTTCCTACCAATCCGATTATTCTTACAATCGAGTTGCAGTGGACTCCTGGCTAACCTCGGAAGACCGTATACATGGTCCCACCTCAGGGCCTTTGCACCTGCTGTTCCCCCTTGCCCAAATGCTTGTCCCTCAGACAGTCACAAGACTGTTTCCTCCTCACCCCTAGACAGATAGGCAGCAGCATTTTCCAGTCTCTCTCCAGTATTCTCAATCACAGTACTCTGTTAATCTTCTTTCTAGAGTGACCCATAAACATTTATTTATTCCCTGTCTGTCTCTCCCATTAAACTATGAGTAATTAAGGGTAAGGAAATCACGACCCAAGATGCTATATTTCCAGTTCTGACACCAAGCCTGGCACACAGATGCTCAACACATTTGTGAAAGGAAGGAAGGGGCTGGAAGCTCCTGAAAACTCTCAGTTCTTCTGCCTTTCCCTACTACCACTACTTTCTGACATTGTCCCCAACCACATACTTAGCATCTCTATCAGGGTGGCAGACATTGCTGCTTGCCTGCCTAATACCCACTCTTCTCTTCTTCTTTCTTCACAAATCCCCTACATAATAGGAGCATCAATGTTTCTGGCTAAAAGAGACATTTCCCAGCTTCCGTTGGAGACAGATATGGTCATATGACTTAGTAACCAATGAAATGTAAGCAAAAGCATCATGTTTAGAACTTCTGTGAGCTGGGAGATGCTTCTTTTATCCTTCTTCCAGACGCTTGGAATATGAAATTTGATGACTGGAGCTTCAGCAGCCATCTTACACAATGAAGCACCTAAGAACAAAAGTCATGTTCTAGGAATGATGAAGCAGAAAGACAGAAGAAATGTGGGTGCCTGGTGATTATATAGGTGTACAAACTCCAGACTGCCTGTCTCTGGACTTGTTTTGCACAGAACAACAATATTCTACCACTTTGGAGTCACTCCTATTTTGGGTTTTCCACTACATGCAACCAAACTTAATCCTAACTATCACAAAAGGGAAGACTGGAACTAAGCAGCCTGTGGACAGGTACATCCCTGCTGAGGAGAGATGCCACGACAGGCTGTGTGCCCACCTTCTGGGAGTCCACTGGAACCTTTGGTCCGTCGGGTCTTCAGTGATGGGGGGGAGTCAAAGGTGGCCACTGTGCCCCCAGTGGCACTGGTCATAGGGGCAGCAGGGTTTGGTCCTTTTGGTTTGAATCCTTGTTTGCCAGGGCTATACACCTGGGGTGTGGGGTATACAGGAGCCTCCACACACTGGTTTGGCACCTAGAAGGACAGCAAAGTCAGGGAGAGTATCCTGGGAAGGGAGGGGAAGAGCTGCCCCAGGTAGTGGGACCTTCACTGTGGCCCTGGCTGATCTCAGCCACCCGCAGCTACATCACCACCCTAACTCCTCCACCTCACTAAGTCCCCCCAGTCACTCCCAAGACCCCTTTGAATAGAACTCCATGAAGCCAGCAGGCTAGAAGCAGCTTTGGAACCAGGCTGCTTGGGTTCAAACCCTGATTCTGTCACTTATCATTTAAGTGACCTTGGACAAGTCTTTTAACTTCTGTTGCAGTTTCTGCATCTGTAAAATGGGACTAATTATAGCAACCCCATATGAGACTAGAGCTTAGAAGAGAGCCTGGCAAGTAGTAAGCACCCAATCAACATCAGCTGTTGTGATGGCCATTATTGTTGTTGTTAGTAATAGACCTCTTGCACAGGAGAACTAGGAAGTCAGAAGGGTCTATGCCATCACCAGCAACTCCACTTCCTAACCAACTCTGCCTGATGCCACACCAGTAGGCATCCTTTGACTAGGAATTGACACTGAAGCCATGAGAAATTACCAAAGGAATTCTGAGCCACCCAAACTCAGTGACCACTAAACTCACATCATGACAACTGGGGTATTGTAAAGAATTCATTTATTCCTTCATCTATCTATCATTCATTGGTCTTCCTGGGTTGCCCTACCCAAAATTCCACTTCCTCTCCTCTGCTTCATTTTCCTCCTTAAATGCATCATTATCTAATAAATTATGCATTTTACTTACTTACCTTGTCTATTATCTGCCTAGTTTCATGCAGGCAGGGACTTCTGCTCTGCTTTTGTTTCTTCCTCTATTCCCAGGCCTAGAGGAATGCCTGGCACAGAGTGGGCACTCAATAAACATTTGCTGAATGAATGAATTCATTTATGGAGGTCTCAGGCATCTTATACAGCACCACTAGGTGCTTCTGCCAGGTCTTGCCTGTCGGCCCTTGGCACCTTCCTACACCCGCCCATGCTCTTCCCTGAAATGCAGAGGTGGCAAGCTTGAAACCACATTCTCAAGTACCCCTGCCAGCACAGTTCTGAACACAAATTGAGTTCTGCCCATGAGAAGCATCTGCATGAGATCTGAAGGCAGAAGGGAGGTAGAAACTGTTCTCCTTGGCAGCCAAGCTGCAAGACAGGCAGGTTAGCAGTCATGAGTTTTGGAGTGGCAAGCTGTACCCTACATTCCCCTCCTGATTACCAGCCCTGAGGACGGCAGGGCAGCTGAAACCTCAGCAACAGAATCCTACAGTTTTCTCACCAAGTACAGTGTTCTAGTTACAAGGGCCAAGCCACAACAGTGACCCTGAAAACGAGCGGTTCTTGCCAACCCTGACTTTTACTCCTCCAGCCCTTCCATCAGCCCTACAGATTTAAGTTCCTGTATTAAATCCCTCTGTTATAAATACCTAGAGTGATTTCAATTTTCCTGACCAATCCAATACTCAATATTTGTCACGGTGAATGAATTCACCCATCATCCAAGTCATTCCTGAGCAATGATACGACTGCCACTGGGTTAGTTCTCATTATCCTCACAGCTCTACAAGGGGAGTTCCCATTCTAGAGTCTCTCCTCTGAAACTGAGGTCAAAGCACCCTATTTCAGACACCAACTGCAGGTGTCCCACAGGCCAGGCTTCTGCTAGGTGCCAAGGATGCAAATCAAAGATGACTCAGGCTCTGTTTTCAGAGAGCACTCTTTGTCTACATGAAAAATAAACAACAGCAGCTATCCCTATGCTGGCCCCTCTATCTATGAGGCCACCACCATCCTCTCAGCATCTCACTAGCTTAATTATTTTAAAATTTTTAAATATTATTTATTTATTTAAATATTTAAATACACAATTTCCAAGACATTTTTACTGATCAACTGGTGACTCAGATTCTTAACTTTTTATTTTGTATTGGGGTATAGCTGATTGACAAACAACGCTGTGAGAGTTTCAGGTGAATAGCAAAGGGACTCAGCCGTACATACACATGTACTAATTTTTTAAAAATTCAGCCAAGTCCTTGCTTTATTCTCCCAGGGTAGGGAAAATCCCCTGCAGGGTCTTAGAACATTACATGGCTGGTGGTGGAATTTTCCTCCAGTCTAGTTCTATTTCCAGAGAGACCATCTGACATAGAATGTCTGTATGGCTGGATTCTAGAGTGAGTCTGAGATAATGTGACCTCAAGTGCAGGCAGGCTCCTTCTGTCATAACCATGCCCCCTAGCACTTGTGCCTGGCATGGTTCTGAACTCTCAGTGCCTTGAGAGTACACTGCTTGTAGTTCGAAACTCTTCAGCTGGGAATTAATATAGTACATATGACACAGGCACACCTTGAAGATATTGTGGGTTCAGTTACAGACCACTGCAATAAAGCAAATACCACAATAAAGCAAGTCACACAAGTTTTTTTTTTTATTTTCCAGTGCATATAAAAGTCATGTTTATGAAAAAAAGTTATGTTATGAAAAAAGTTATGTTTACTCTATCTTATAATCTAAGTATGCAATAGCATTACATCCTAAAAAAATGTATGTATCTTAATTTAAAAAAACTTTTTTTCCATTAAAAAAAATTTTTTGACTTTATTGCTAAAAAAAATGCCAACCACAACTGAACCTTCAGCAAGTAATAGTAATAACATCAAAGATCACAGATCATCACGACAAATACAATAACAATGAAAAAGGTTGAAATGTTGTAAAGATTACCAAAACTTTGACACAGAGACACAAAGGGAACAAATGCTGTTGGAAAAATGGCACTGATAGACTTGCTCAACAAAAAACACAATATTTGCAAAATGCAATGAACCAGGGTATGCCTGTACACTGCCTGAATGGCCTCGATACTACCTCTTCTGGTACCCAGGCCCTTTCCCAGTGTGACTTGGAGTTTTTCCCACCGAGAGGTGGCATCTATTTCCGTACTCCTTCAACCTAAGCTGGCCTTGTGACCTGCTTTCACCAGCAGAAGTGACACTGTGTCACTTACAAGCCTAAGCCTCAAGAAGTCTTGAGCATTTCTGCTTGCATTACTGCACGTCCACCACTGCGGTGAGACCATGCCTGGGCAGCCTGCTTGAGAAGGAAAGCTGTGTGGAGCAGAGTTGGGTCACCCGACCTGATTATTCCACCCGAGGCCACTTTAGATCAGCAGCCAGTCAGCCAACCTCCAGACATGTGGGAGCACCCAGCCAAGATCAGCAGTTGCCAAGCTGACCACCACAGACGTGAGAACAATACACATCTTTCCCCATATACTGTATTTCTTACACAGCCATAGCTAACTGATACACCTAGCTTGTTAAAACATATGAGACACTCACATATATAATTTTTTTGGAATCCCTTCCCCAAAGGCAGATATTCTCTTGATTGTCCCGAGTACTCCCCGAGGACAGCTTGTATTTCTGCTACAACCCCTACTTCATTCCACCTTCTCATGGGGTGCGTTTTACCTTTACACATATGATAGCTTGAGCTGGTTTTGCCCCCACAGTACCTCTGGCATCAGAAAAGGCTCGGGTTATCCGGGACGACCATGACCAGCTTTTCCCTCTTCACCCCAAGCCCCAGCGTCTGCTCACCTCCAGGGGTGGGTAGGGCTGCATTCCCAGCGCTTGGATCTCTACCGTTCCACTCCCAGTGAGGGGTGCTGTGGCACTGTACACCTCCACCACGCCATTCCCGCCAGGGTTGGGACGCCCGGGGGGGCCCAGACTCTGGGGTGGGGGTGGTGGGGGTTGGGGGGGTGGGGGTGGGGGCAGCGGGGGAGGGGGCGGGGGAGGAGGTGGAGGCTGGGCCAGGTAGTTCGGTGCAGGATGCATATTCAGGTTACTCTGAAATCACAAGAGAAAATTAAATTGTCATAGCCTCTTGAGACCAGCTGTCTGATTTATCAGCAGGGAAGGACACTTGCCTTAGCCAGGCTTGTGGGAAGAAGAGAGGACAAGGCAGAGAGCAGGCATGGAGACCAGATCATGGGAGAATTCCAAGGAGCCATCAGACTGGTATTGGTGTCTTTTTCTCTACGAAAGTCAGCAAAAATGGCCCAGCCTGTGCAGAAATGAACTCATAGAGCGGGCCTAATGTTGCTGTCTTTAGAAGGGCTTGCTTGTAGGACTGGCTCTGAACTGGTATCTGAGAACCTGCCTTGTAGAAGATTCCCTGATTTTTTGTTTGTTTTGGCTGCACTGTGCGTCATGTGGACCAGGGATTAAACCCATGCCCCCTGTTCTTGAAAGCTCGGAGTCTTAATCACTGGACAGTCAGGTAAGTCCTGCAGGTTCCCTATGTTGATGAGGCTATTTTGCCTACCTGGGGCACTGGCCCTAGTGTACCAACTACCTAGACAGTTTGCACGACAATGTGATTTATGGTGAACAACTCCTTCTGACCAGGGTATCTGGAATTGTGCTGTGTGGCTGGAAGCCTACATGACCAATCCTCAACAGAAGCCCTGGCCTTAGAGTCAAAGGTGTTCTTTCCTGGCAGAAACTCTGGGCACTCTTGACTGCTGGAGGACACCATGTGCCCTGAGCAGCCTCTCCCCACTTTCCCGAGGCAAAGAACGCTGGAGACTTGGAAGAACGCCGATTTCCTGCAGACTCCAGTTGCTGGGTCTTTCTTCCTTGCTGGTCCTGCTATGTATCCTTCTACTTTAAACCAGCCAACAGCACAAGCATCCTGAGCCCTGGGAGTCTTTTTAGAGAGTCACGAAATGTGTGGGTGGCTATGGATCCTTGAAACACAGCCACTGACTTCTAGCAATTGATTCTACAAAAAATTCAACCAGGTAGGCAAAGATAATCATACACAGATGTCACTCGTCATTTTTATAATAGCAAAAACTGGCAATGACTACATGTCCTCCCATTGGAAGTCTGGCTAAACAGAGGATGGTCCATCCACTTGGAATGGAACAGAATCCTTTGTGGCTGTTACAGTGATGGTGCTGATCAGTATTCAATAAAGGGTGCTTTTCTTAATTGCTGTTCCTTGGGTTCCATGGTCAAATATGTTGGGGGAAAATCTGAGTTGACAAAATCAAAAGTATTTCTGCAGTATTTACTGCAGGAAAAACCCAGGGACAGAGCAAGGGAAGAAGTACAATGCTTCCACCTCAGGCTGCTTGGACCAATGATCCTTTTTCTATTGGAAAATCCCAAGAAGCCACTGTTCCGAGGAACACTTCAGTAAATAATGATGTAGGGTTGTAGGCATAGATAGAAAATGATGTTAAACAAAAGGCCAAGAAAGAAAGGGCTTCCCAGGTGGTGCAGTAGTAAAGAATCCGCCTGTTAACGCAAGAGACAGAAGAGACTCAGGTTCAATCACTGGGCCAGGAAGACCCCCTGGAGTAGAAAACGGCAACTGGCTCCAGTATTCTTGCCTGGAAAAATTCCATGGACAGAGGTGCCTGGTGGGCTACAGTCCATTGGGATGACAAAGAGTCGGATATGACTGAGTGCACGAACAAAGTAAGAAAAGCAAGTTCCAGAACAGTGCATGTAAGATCCATTTATATACATGTGTATAGTTTACACATATTTATATAAAAAGCTATTTCTATCTCTATTTGCATTCGAAGGTCAGGAAATCCAGACATCAAAATTTTGGTAGTGTTTTCTCTCGGTGGAGGGAGTAAGAGTGCTTGTTTGACTTTCCAATTTTTATTCTGTAGAATTTCAAACCTACAGAAAGGTTGCAAACAGAATACAATGAATGCTCTTTCTACCTCATTTAATTTACCAGTTGTTGCCATCTTGCCGCATCTGCAGTGCACGTGTGTGTGTACATATACACACATACATACCTGCGTTTTGTCAAGCCCCTTGAAAGTTAGCTACAAACATCATGACACTTGATTCCTTAAAACTACTCAGATGCATCTCCTAAGAACAAGGACATCCTCCTATGTAACAATTTGATGAACACACACAGGAAATTGAACAGATATAATACTATTATCTAAAATATTCAAATTCCTCCATATTCTAATCTCCCTAAGTGTCCCAATAAGGCCTTTAAGGCTTCCCTCACCCCAAACCCCCACACCCTATCTAGAATCCAACCAAGAATTGCAAATTCAGTCGGTTGCCCTGTCTCTTTTGATATTAAGAATAATTAAACTTAAAAAAAAAAAAACTTTTCTTTTGTGTACTTTCTAGTGTTTTTCTAGTGGACATGGAACACTTCCGCAAAGAATAAAAATAGAAGGGCTTCCCTAGTAGCTCAATGGTAAAGAATCCACCTGCCAATGCAGGGGACAGGGGTTTGATCCCTTATCCAGGGAGATCTTACACACCGCTTAGCAACTAAACCCATGTGCCACAATTATTGAGCCTGTGCTCTAGAGCCCAGGAACCCTGACTACTGAGTCCTCGAGCCGAACCTACTGAAACCCGCTCACCCTAGAGCCTGTGCTCTGTGGCAAGAGAAGACATTGCAATGAGAAGCCTGTACACCACAACTAAAGAGCAGCCCCCAATCTCCAAAACCGGAGAAAAGCCTGTGCACGCAGCAATGAAGACCCAACACAGCCAAAATTTTTAAAAAACAGTAGTTTTTAAAAAAAGAATAAAACTACAAGTCAAACGAACCGGACTATGGCTATGAAACCCCAGAGTCATGCTGTGGGGCCCAGCTGAACACATCAGCTTCCCCATCCACAGCAGGGCTGGCCAAGCGGGAAACCGACAGTCCTCCTCAGCTTGAAAAAGAGCTGGGGTCAAGCCCCTTCTTTCTACAAGATTCTGAATCTGCAGGAATCAACTTGCAGACCAAAAATCAAGATCCTGTGAGAAACTGGCCACCTCCTTACCTGCACAGGTGGGGGGCCTTGGGGCATGGGCTGGTCCAGGGACGTGAAGGCTGACATGGCAGACATGAGCACATCATCGCTTACCAAGATGTTCCCCTGCACCAGGGTCTGGATCAGTGGGGATGGGGGCACTGTGATGTACGTGGAGATCTGGACAGTGAGAGAGAAAGAGACGGAAAGAACATGTGTGACATTCTGGAAGGAAGCAGACAGCATGGTAGAAAAGATCTGGGTTCTGGAGTCCCACAGACCTAGATTCCATCTCCACCTCTGCTACTGCTCCCTGTCACATGACTCTGGGAAAGTCACTTCACCTCTCTCAACCTGCATTTCCTCATATCAAATAAGGAGAATAAGTCACACGTCCCTGCAATGCCTATAACCTATGATCTAGCAACAATCTTTCCTGACCTCTGTCCTAGAGAAATAATCACACTTGTCCACAGGAGTCCACAAAAAAGAGGACTCTGCACAGCCTTGTTTCTAATAGTGAAAAACTGGAAATAACCCCGATGTCCATCAATAGGAGGCTAGATTTAAAAACATGTAATATATTCATGGATAGACTACTATAGACGGCAAGTAAGAGGTACTGAATGGAAAATTAAATTTTATAACAATATGTACATTATATATTCTCATCTTTAAAAATCCAAAACAAACAAACAAAAAAATCCAAGACAATACTACTATGTAATTCCTGTGGGTACTTCAGTAAGTATGTGAAAATATAATAATATGCTCTCAGGTTAACAGCAAAGATGAATGGCAGAACTTGTAAGAGGGTGTCAAACATGCAGTGACTTTCCCGTTGTAAATGCAAAGGGTGTTTTGTTTATTTGTTGCCTTTCTTTTCTGGCATCTTAAATCACCTATCTATAGGACCCCAGAGGACAGCAGTAAATGAGCCCCCAATTCCAACAGAAATCCTTGCCCTCAACCAAGCAAGGACAGCCTGGGCAGGTTAGGGACGCACTCCAAGTCACCGCCAGGAAAGGCAGTGACCTGTATTTTTACAATGTCACATGCATTAGCCTGAAGCAAAAAAAAAAGGAAAATCATTTCCATGTCCATCCAGCTCACTTAGACAGAGGGATTTCGGTTTGCCCCTAACCAGTTGATTGTGTGCTAAGGTTTTCTCCTTGCCCAAGAAGGGAAGAATTTCCCTCTCCCCTACTGAAAATAAAAAAGGGAGTCAGGAGAGGAAGAACATCTTCTACTAAATAAACTCATAATCAAGGAGTGAGAAAAACAACTACGTTCTGTGTTAGAAGACGTCTGTGGTAACTTGAAAAGTTTCAGTGCACAGTGTCCTAGGGATCTGGGGGTGGATGTGTTTATTTTGATGGCAGGAATTATGTGTATGCAATGGCGGAAGATTAATGTTTTACAGCAGCAGTCCCCAACCTTTTTGGCACCAGGGACCAGTTTCATGGAAGACAATTTTTCCACGGACTAGGTATGGAGCAGGGGGGTGGTTTCGGATGAGTCAAGAGCCTTAAATTTATTGTGCACTTTATTTCTATGATTATTACATCAGATCATCAGGCATTAGATCCTGAAAGTTGGAGACCCCTCATTTTAGAGGAAGAAAGAGACAAGAGGAAGTCAAAGGGAAATCTAACCCCATGACGTGGCATCCTGGGACAAGCCCGTCCCCTTTATGGGGATTCTTTAATCCTTCTGAGCTCCCATCCATGGTGTCTTTGCTTTAGAACTGTGTTCCTGACTGAGGACTCTGGAAGCTCCTCCAGATACACCCAGCGTGGGGCATCCCCTGACCTCCAGACTTGTCTGTCTGTCTGCATTCTCATCGCTTCTACTTGAGGGTCCAGTGGGCACCTCAAATTCAACATGAGCAGCTGAGCTCCAAATCTCCGTGTTCTCCCCGCTTCAATGAATGGCAACTCCAACTCTGGGCGCACTTGCCTCCTCTTAATCTCACGCCCTACATCCAATCCAGCCACTACCTCGGCCAGTTCCACTTTCAAAATATTTCTAAAGTCTCATCCCTTCTCTCTACTCCACTGCTACTATCCTGGTCAAGCCACCCACCACCACCCACTGCCACATTTGTACAGTAGTCTCCTAATGGGTCTCTGGACTTTTCTCTTGACTCCCGTCAAAATCTGTTGGGGTAAGGGTTGGGGAAAGGACAGTTAAGGAGTTTGGGATTGGCACGTACACATTGCTATATTTAAAATGGACAACCAACAAGGACCTATCCTACAGCACAGGGAACTCTGCTCAGTATTATGTAACAACCTAAATGGGGAAAGAATTTGAAAAACAATAGATAAAGGTATATGTAAAACTGAATCACTTTGCTGTATTGAAAGTAACACAATGTTGTTTATCAACTGTACTCCAATATAAAATAAAAAGTTATTTCCTGAACAAAAAAAATAATCTGTTCCCTACAGCAGCTGCAGTGATCTAATTAAAGTATTTGTTGCTGTCGTTGTTAGTCACTCAGTCGCGTCCGACTCTTTGTGACCCCATGAACTGCAGTCCGCCAGGTTCCTCTGTCCATGGGATTCTCCAGGCAAGAATACTGGAGAGGGTTGCCATTGCCTTCTCCATAAATCAGACTATATCCCTCTCCTGCTCAAAACCCTCCCATGGCTCCCATCTCATGCAGAGTAAAAGCCACACAATTTGCCAAGGTCTCCCTATTGCGTCTCTGACCTTATCACTTCTTACCCTTCTCCTCACTCACTCAGCTCCAGCCACTCTCACCTCCTTGCTGTTCCTGGAATAAACCCAGCACACTCCTGCCTCAGGGCCTTTGCACTTGCTGATCTGCCCCCAGAATACTCTTTCCCCAAGGAGCTGCATGACTATTTCTCCCAAGGTCTCTGCACAAATGTCACCTTTTCTCAGAGCTCATCCTATTGAGCATCACATGCAAAAGGGCAAAACCTCCCAGCCCTGCCCTGGTATCCCCTCTCTGCACTTGTCCTGGGAGAAGTCCATCTCAACACGTCTTTTGGGTGGTGTCTATCTTACCTTATGCCACGGCGGCAGTGACCTGGTCTGTTTGTTCACTCCTGTACCCCTGGTGCCCACACAAAGCGTGACACACAGTGGGTGCTCAAAAAAGACTTGAATAGATGAATGAACAAAACAAATGAATGAATACCTGGCGATTGGGAGGAGGCGGGGCCTGCTGGACAGCTGAGGGTGCTGCCGAAGGTGTGTAGATGCTGTTGGTGGCCAGTGAGACGGTAGCCAGGGGTGGGGCACTCCCTTGGCACTGTTCCCGCTTGTGGGTCATAAACGCTGGAAGCGAGTTGAACTGCTTCTTACACTTCCCGCAGAGAAAGACATCCTCATCATCTAAGGGTCACACCCGCAGAGTAGCGGAAGGAGAGAAATAACGAAAAAAAGCAAGAGAAAAGGAGAGGGCATCACAGTGAGAAATGGAGGCCCATGGCTGGACCATGAGAAAGGCAAACTAATGGCATTCCATCACTCAGCGCTTGAGGGTCAAGCATCAACTCTGTGCTTCCCATGAGCTTTCAAATCACATTAGCACCTTCAGGAATATCCAGTCAGGTTCACACAGGTATCAAAAAAATCAGAAATCAGGAACTAGTAAGGTGGCTTCGCTTCAAGGTTGAGACAGTCAGAATTTTTATCCTGCCTGCATTTATTTATTCACCAGTCCCCAAATGGGCTGCATGATCACACTCCTGGGTGTCTCTCCATCCACTGCTCCCCCTGCCAAGCTGCCTCTCCCAGAATGACTCATTCTGCAAAGCTCAGCCGAGATGTCACCTCCTCCAGGAAGCCCTCCTAAAGCAATGTTCACAGTTCCTTCCTCTGAGCAAGCCTCTCATCACATTTTCCCCACCACCACCACATTTTGTAAGGGAAGGAAATATGTCTTATTCATCACCATAACTACAATATTTTCTGGGCACATAGGAGGCCTTCAGTGGATATCTGTTGAATGCATGTAAAACTAAATGAAAGATTAGCTACAGTTAACACCACCCATAACTGAAGGCCCACTACAGGCTATGTACCGTGCCAAAGTTTTCAATATTCACTCTTCCTTTGGAAACAATACAAATTTTAGTTAGAAATATGGCCATCTAGTTAAAGAACATACTTCCTAGACTTCTTTGCAGCTAGACAAGTCATGTGACTAAATTCCAACCAATAGGATAAAAGAAGAAGTATTCTGTCTATACAACTTTCTCTTAAAAGGAAGGGGTATGACTTCCACTTCCTTCCTTCTTCCCTTCCTATTGGCTGGAGTGCGGAAATGAAAGTAGGAGGTTGGAGCAGCCATCCTGGACCCATGCTGAGAGCAGCAGAGCCATACAAAAGAAGGGGTCTGAGTCATTGGGACGTCATACCACAGAGAAACTTTAATCTTGTACAAATTACAAGAAACTTGCATTTCTTATTTACAACAGCTAAAACTAAATCCCAAGTACCCTCACAAGATTACTATGAGGTGGACTATTGTCCTCATTGTACACACGTAGAAACTGAGGCACAGAGAGGTTAACTCATTTGCCCAAGGTCACAGAGCCAAACTTCAGGAGCAAGGATTCAAACTAGGCACATATCTCTCTGTCCCCAGCATGGTTCCCAAGCACTCAAAAATCTTTGTAGCATGAACAGATGAACACACAGACTCACACAGGGCTCTGAAGAAAGCCCTCTTCTTGTTTCAAGAGCCTGAGTTGTAAATTGGAGAGACTCAAGTTTAGTCTCATAGAGAGGAGGGTGAGGAACTACTTTGGGTCAAAGGCACAAACATCAGGACTCCCAGCCATTCTCTGTCATGATCCCCACACTTACTAAGGGATTGAGGACCAGTGGCCTCAGAGCTAAGCGGAGAAGGGTCTGATCCTGAAGATCCAGGCTGGGAGGAAGGGGAGAGGGTTCAGACACTGGAGGAAAACCAGGGGACCACAGTGGGCAGTCCACTCCTACACCCTCTCATCAGCCCCACCTGTTTTTCACAGGAAGCCCCTTACCCTTCCTGCTGATGAACCTGAGCAGATACTCACCCAGTGGCTGGATAGCAGGGGGTGCATTGACACTCTGGCCTGTTGGATCAGGAACTGCTCCTTGGCCATCCAACAACGACTGGACGGCCAAGACAGTCTGATTGTCCATTCCTGAAGAAAGAAAAGCAGTCTTTTTGGAAGGTGAATCCAGCATCCTGCTGTGACTTCACCCTTAAAAATCCAGACCCGCTGGGAGGCCCCAGTGGTAAAAGTGGTTGGCCATGCCCTGATACACATTCTCTCCTGCTTCTACTGTAACAGAACCCAAGACTTGGGGCTAGAAACATGGCCCCAGAAGAAAGATTACATTTCCCAGCCACACTTGCAGCTACAGAATGTCTGAGTTCTGGCCCATAGGAGTTTTGGGGAAGTTTTCTTAAAAGCTGTCCAGTATGAGACCTCCTTCTTTGTCCATCCTGCTTCCTAGAGTAAGAAGGTGATGGTGGGAAGTTCAGCTGCCATCCCAGATCATGAGGACAAGGGCCAGGCCCTAGGCACTGCACGGCAAAAAACTGGCTAGATCCTGGGCCTCTGCGGACCTGGAAGAAGATGGCCACTGTCACAGCTGTAGGGTGCCTTTTTCTGGACTCTCACACAAGAGAAATAAACTTCTAGCCTGTTTAAGCCACAGCTAGTTTGGGCTTCTCTCTTACTCATGGATGAATCTAATCCAAAGTGCAATAACCCCTCTGGAAATCACGTTACTGAGTCTTCCCCAACCACACCCCACAAATGCCACAAATCTCTTTGTACTTGGGCTTCTCCTGTTTTCTAATGCGTGCTTATTTTTTCAGATCCTCAATAAACAGCGTAATCTGGATTTGGGTGGGGGTTGGGGGCGGTTCTTGAGAAGCTGACTACATTTACATTTTCCAATCAGCTGTCACTGTTGCGGTTCTCAGTAGTACACTGTCCAGCGTGTCACCAGCTGAAGGACAGGCCTCCTCACACCTAAGTGGCCCTCAAGGCACACTGCCTCCCTTCCAAATAACCCAGAGGGCCGCCTCTTTCTTTCCGTCCTCACGGTCAACCTCTCAGCTCTGACCTGGACACCTACCCAGCCCCTAACTGAAAACCATTTGATCCTGTGGTCAGACTGAATCCATCCTTATCCCTGTGACGGTATGAGCTGTGCACCTCCTGAGGCCAGCCTTCTCTCCATCCTCTCCGGCTCCTTCAGAAGCCACTCTCTACCAACTGGCCCCTCTCACACTATGCCCACAACCTCTCCTTCTCATCAGCGGCTACACACATTTAGGTCTCTCTAGATAGCGTCCTTCGAACCCATGTTCTCATCTCTCTTTCCTTCAACATCAAGCATCCAGTGAGAGTTGTCTACACCCTCCATCTCCCCTGGCCCTTTCGCAATCCTCCTCCACCCACTCCAGTGGGGCTTAAGCCCCCATCATTCCACCAGAATCACCAAAGAGCACCCGGCAGCATTGGACGTTCCTTCTTGAAACACCCCCTTCTAAGGCTCCAGGGTGCCAGCTTCCTGGGCCTTCTCCCATCTTTCCACTTGCTACTTCCCTACCTCCTTCACTTCCTTCTCCTGTCCGTCTCCTAAATATTTCTGTTTTGAAGGGTTCCTTCTGTCTGGCTCTCTCTCGCCTCTCACTCGTCCACTCTCCCTTAGAATCCTCACTCACCCTCATCTAGTTCTCCCTATTATCTTGAGTGTCAAACCATTCTGGGGTCCATCCTTCCCAGAATGAGGTTCAGTAAATCTTCTATCATGATGCAAAATTGCACATCAGCATCTGTGTGCAAACCTGTACCTGAACGTTTATAGCGGTTTTATTCATCACAGTAAAAAACTGGAAACAAGTTAGATGTCCTTCAGTGGGTGAATAGTTAAACAAACTGCAGTTCATCCACACCACAGAGCACCGCTCTGTAATAAAAAGGGGCAAACTATTGATATAAGCAACAACTTGGATGAATCCCAGGGAATTACAATGTGTGAAAAAAGCCATTCTCAGAGGTTATATACTTTATGATTTTAATTACATGACATTCTTAAAATGACAGTATTTTAGAAATGGGAGATATATGTATAATCATGGCTGATCTGTGTTGTCACATGGCAGAAACCAACACAACAGTATAAAGCAGTTTCCCCCCAATTTAAAAAAGAAAGAAATGGAGAACAAAGAACAACAGATCAGGGTGCCAGACATGGGCATGAGGAGCAGGGGAAGAGGTGGATGTGGCTATAAAAAGAGCAACATCTTGCAGTGAAAGGATGGTTCTGTAGAGCCACTGGTTGTAATATTATAGAACAGCTTTACAGGATGTTACATTGGGGGAAACGAGGTAAAGGATAAACAGAATCTCCCGGTATTATTTCTACATCTGCACGTGAAGCTACAGAAACAAAAGGATTTCAAAATAAAAAGTTTAATTAAAAAAAATACTGTCTGCGACTTCTTTGGTGGACCAGAGGTTAAGAATCCGCCTTCCAATACAGGGTATGTGGGTTCAATCCCAGGTTGGGGAACTAACATCCTACAGGCTGCAACTAGAGAAGTCCACACATTGCAATGAAGATCCATGTAGCCAAAATTAAATAAATGAAATGAAAAATACTGCCTGTCAAAACTGTGGAGACAATAAAAAGATCAGTGGTTGCCAGGGGGTGGGGCGGGGGGAGGGATGAAAAGGCAGAACACAGAGAATTTTTAGCACAGTGAAAATATTCTATACGCTAATATAATAATGGTGGATATATGTCATTATACAGTTGTGCAGTAGAATGTACAACACGAAGAATGAAACCTAAGATAAATGATGCGGACTTCCCTGGTGGCCCAGTGGATAAGAATCTGCTTGCCAATGTAGGGGACACGGGTTCAATCCCTGGTCTGGGAAGATTCCACATGCCAAGGGGAAACTAAGCCTGTGGGCCACAACTACTGAGCCTGAGCTCTAGAGGCCATGAGCCACAACTACTGAAGCCAGAGCACTTAGAGCCTGTGCTGGCAACAAGAGAAGCCAACACGATAAGAAGACTGCACCACAACAAAGACTAGCCCCCACTCGCCACAACTAGAGAAAGCCCACCTGCAGCAATGAAGACCCAGCAGAACCAAAAATAAATAAATAAATAAATAATTTTTAAAAAATATATAAATGATGGACTATGAGTGCTTATGATGCATCAGTGCAGGTTCACTCTTGGTAACAACTGTACCACTCTGGTGAGTTATGTTGATTAAAGGGGAGGTTATGAATGTGTAAGATCAAAGGAAGTCTCTGCATCTTCCTTTCAACTGTGTAAACCTAAAAGTGCCCTAAAAAAAATAAACTGCTTGATAAAAATGCTGCCTATCTATGCCTCTATAACTCATGCTTTCGATCTGTGGTGCTGGAGAAGACTCTTGAGAGTCCCTTGGACAGCAAGGAGATCAAATGAGTCAATTCTAAAGGAAATCAACCCTGAATATGCATTGGAAGGATTGATGCTGAAGCTAAAGCTTCAATACTATGGCCACTTGATGCGAAGAGCCGACTCATTAGAAAAGACCCTGATGCTGGGAAAGACTGAGGGCAGGAGAGGAAGAGGGCAACAGCGGACGAGCTGGTTGGATGGCATTACTGACTTAATGGACACGAATTTAAACAAACTTCAGAAGATACTGAAGGAAACGGAAGCCTGGTGTGCTGCAGTCCATGGGGTTGCAAAGAGTCAGACACAACTTAGCAACTGAAGAACAACAAATCTAAAACTCAAACTAAATGTGTGGTTCCTCACCCCTAAGTCTGTTCCTCTCCTAGTAATCCTCATCAGTAAGAATAGGGTACCACTGCGCACCCTGTCAAAGCCCCTGGGACAACCCCTGATTCTTTCCTTAACCAATCTCCCTTCCCACCTTGATTTCTAGCCCTTCAGGAAGTCTAGCCTCATCTGTCTCCTAAAGATTTCTCAGATCCACTTTCTCTCCATCCCCACATCCGTCCTCGGGGCCCAGGCCACCATCAGTTCTCAGCAGGACAGCCGCAGTGGCCTCAACTCCCTGCTGCCGCTCCGGCCCCTCCTGTCTGTTCTCAGCACAGCCAGGATGAACTTTATAAAACATACATTAGCTTGTGCAGCCCCCTGCTGAAAACCCCTTCTTAGCTCCACACTGATGCCAAGATAAAGTTCAGAAGCATCATCTCTAGATGCTCACATGAACTTCTGTGAACCCCAGACCTCTCTTACCCCAAGGTTTTTTGGAAATGCAGTTCCCACTGCCTGGGTCACCTCTGGATCCCCACAGTTCTGCTGCCCTTCTCCAACCCCAGCACAATCACACAGTCCGAGGAACTGACTTTTTCTTTACTTTCTTCATTATTCAGTACACAGACACAAACAGGACTTCCCTGGTGGTCCAGTGGTTAAGAATCCACCTGCCAATGCAGGGGACACAGGTTCAACCTCTCGTCTGGGAAGATTCCATATGCCTTGGAGCAGCTAAGTTGGTAAGCCACAGCCACTGAGCCCTAGAGCTGCACCTACTGAAGCCTGAACACCCTAGAGCCTGTGCTCTGCAACAAGAGAAACCACGGCAATGAGAAGCTTGTGCACCCCAACTAGAGTAGCCCCTGCTTGCTGCACTGGGAGAAAGCCTGTGCAGCAACAAAGACCCAGCGCAAAAGTAAAGTAATAAATAACAAAGGCAAAAGCAAAATTATTTTTAAAAAAAACACAAAAATACACACATTCTTGTAGTGAAAATTCAAACACTGAGGGAGTCCATGAACCTAGAGAGGAAGTAGACTTCACCTTATCCTATTGGCCTCTCATCCACTGACTTGGCCCTCCCATCACAGCACTGAAGGCCAGCTGAGGTTGTCCTCTTTTACTGCTTACCTTTTCCATAATTATATAATTTCTGGGTCCCTCACCAACGAGTATTCCTAAAACTTAACCTTTAGGGAGGTTTCTGGGTCTGATCCTCCAAAAGTTCAAAGACACGCGACTGAGACTTCCTGAGGAGTTGTAGGGCTCAAAGCCTCAGCCACACACCACGAGTCCAGCCTACTTTCAGTCTGCACTCTGATTATGTGTGTGCTCATCGGATTCCTCTAAGAGCATTCTTGGGTCTGTATCGCCCCTGCATCAACTCTGTGCCCCAGCTCTGTGTTCTCTTGCTCCCAGCAAGTGCACATGGAAGTCCTCTACCCTTGTGCTGTGTGGAGTCGCTCAGCCGTGGCTGATTCTTTTCAACCCCATGGACTGTAGCCCGCCAGGTTCCTCTGTCCATGGGGAGTCTCCAGGCAAGAATACCCGAGTGCGTTGCCATGTCTTCCTCCAGGGGATCTTCCCAGCCTAGGGATTGAACCCAGGTCTCCCGCATTCCAAGTGGATTCTTTACTATCTGAGACCTCTGCCTTTGCCTGGCTCCAAAGCTCACAATTCCCAGAGCCTGAGGGCCATTTACGTACAGGATAACCAGCAGGTGCCCAGTGTTTGCTGGTTTGGGTCTGGGAACTCGGTAGCCGGGCCAACCACACCGTTGGCACCCATCCTTTCTTGATCTGGGTTTTTAAGACCCTGCACCCTAGAACGGTACACAAAGTAGGCACCCAGTGTTTGCTGGTTTGGGGTGGCATCAATCCTTTCCTGGTCCGAATTAGAGACACTACGCCAAAGCACAAAGCGCGCAGTTGGTGCTCAAAGCAACTTCTTCAGGGGCTTCCTAATGGCTCAGTCGGTAAAGAATCTGCCCACAGTGTGGGCGACCCAGATTAGCTAGCTGGGTGGGGAAGATCCCCTGGAGAAGGGTATTAGCAACGCACTCCAGTATTCTTGCCAGGAGAATCCCCACCCCGTTCCCACTGGGTGCAACCCTTCCCAGGCCTCGCATCCGCGGGGCAGCCTAGCTCACCCCGCAGTTCCAGGCCGGGTTGCACCCCACCCCCGGCTGTTCCCTCCAGCGAGCCCTGGGCCCTGGGCCCTGGGCCCTGGCGGCTGCAGCTGTTCCGGTCCGGGACGCCCTCTCTGCGGCGCCAGCCCTCCCCGGCTGTTCCGGTCTCGGTGCTCCCCCCCCCGGGGCCTTCCCTCTCCCGCTGTTCTTGTCCCGTGGCCCCCCACCCCGCTGGGCCTCGGCTCCCGCGGCTGTTCCATTCCCAAGGCTCCCCCACCACCACCACTGAGCCTCAACTCCGCGGCTGTTCAGGCCCCTCGGTCCCCCACCCCCGCCAGGCCTCGGCTCCCCCGGCTGTTCCCGTCCGTGCCCCTCCCGCTCCGCGGCTGTTCCGGTCCCGGTGCCCTCCGCCCCGCGGCCGCCACGCGCCCTGGGCCCGGCGCGGCGGGTTCGCGGCGGGAGGGGGCACAGTGCGGAACAGCCGCCTCCCCCGGCCCCGCCGCCGCTCACCCTCCAGGGCCTCGAAGATAGTCTGCGCCATTTTGGAGCCGCTGCTGCTGCTGAAGCCCGAAGCCGGGCTACGCAAGCATTGTGGGAGCGGCGGCGGCGGCGGCGGCGGCATCGGATCCGCCAGGGGGCGCCCGGGAGCCGCCGCCGAGCCCCCTTACCATCCCGGAAAGCAGGGAATGACCCGTGGGACCCCCCAGGATACCAGGACTCTCCCAGCCCCGCCATGATGACCCTGTCAGCGGCGCACATGGACTCTTATCCCGGCCTCACTTGATCCCTCCAATCCTATCTCTGCCGCAGAGAGGCAGCACCAAACCTTGTTTTCTGGACTGTCTCCCAGCTCTCGTGACACAGACCTCTGTCCCACTGCGTGGGACACCTCACAAGTCTGCAACATGAACCGAACACTTCCATACTACACGGTATCCCCACCTTTGCAACACCAACCCCTCTTCCTATCCCATCTGGACCACCCAACTTGGTTGCAAGTGTCACGCGAGTGTAAGCTCCTCGGTTCTTTGTCTCGTCACAACAAAGATTTGGAGTGACGGACATTAAAGCCCCTTGGCGGGTCACAGCTCTCAGAGGACAGACCGTATTACAGCTCTTAAATAAATCACTGTTACAGCTCAGTGTTACAGCTCTATTTATTTAGATAATAGCAGGAAAATCCATCTTTGAGGCTTGAGGGCACGTCGACCCAAAGACGCGAAGAGAAGAGCGCCCCATCGCGCGGGAGAGCAAGAGAGCGAGCTTTGGCTCCTCTTTTTATGTTTCTTTGTCCCTGAGCCTGTCTTATGTAAATTGGGCCAGCCAGGAGTGTTGTTTGTTTTACCTGAGGTTCTTGGACCTTCCTTTGTTCTATTTTCGCAGGCTTTCCCTTCCAGGTCTTTTAGCCACCCCCATTCTGGACTCTTTTTCCCTAACTACCTAACACAAGGACCCCCATCTCCACCTAATACAGGACTACTGCCCAACTGTGCAACATGGAGGCCCGTCCCTTGTCATAGACTTCTAATTCCCCCTCCCACACTAACCACTCTCTCTACATATTGGGAGCCACTGGCCTCTCCCCACATGAATCTCCTCTCTACCTGGTCTTAATCCCCCATCACCTCAGAGATTCCTCTTGACTGATACATAACCCCTCACTTCCACTTTTTGGGAACCTCCATTTCCTCTTCACATGGGCCTCCATCCCTGCCTCTGGAGGACCCCATTTCTGTTATATAAACCCCCAATACCCACCTCAGCAACCCTCCCAGCCCAACCTCACAGGAAACCCATCCTGGTCTCCCACGGATCCTCCTGCCTCCTTTGGATCCCCCATCACACACAGACCTCTCTCTCTCATCTTCCTTTATGTTCCATCAGCCCCTTCTTGGGGACTTAGTATGTACCAAGTTCTCCAATACTTTGGCCACCTGATGTGAAGAACTGACTCATTGGAAAAGACCCTGATGCTGGGGAAAGATTGAAGGCGGGAGGAGAAGGGGACAACAGAGGATGAGGTGGTTGGATGCCATCACCGACTCAATGGACATGAGTTTGAGTAAACTCCCGGAGTTGGTGATGGATAGGGAGGCCTGGCATGCTGCAGTCCACGGGGTCAAAAAGAGTCAGACAGGACTGAGCAACTGAACTGAAGTTCTATAATAGCTCTGGGAATACAGTGGTCCTTTCCTTTGAAGTTGGTGGAGCGGGTACAAACAGAGATTAAATCTTTTAAAAGATTATTTAATTACAAATGTGATGTGGTTTCAAAGAAGTATACTTGGGTCACAAGGAAAAGCTGGGGTGTGCTTGGGAGGGAGGGGGGAACCACGGAAGTGGCCAAGAATCATGATCTCTCTCCCATGGGATTTCCCTGGTGGTCTAGAGGTTAAGAATCCACCTACCAATGAGGGGAACACAGGTTCAATCCCTGGTTTAGGAAGATTCTACATATCAAGGAGCAACAAAGACCCTGCACCACAACTGCTAAGTCTGTGCTCTGGAGCCTGTGAGCCACAGCTATTGAGCCCCCTCGCCCTAGAGCCTGTGCTGCACAACAAGACACCACAATGAGAAGCCCTCGCAGGACAAGTAGAGAGTAATCCCTGCTCACCACAACTGCAGAAAGCCCGCACACAGCAACGAAGCCCCAGAGCAGCCAAAAATTAATTTAAAAAACAATCTCTCCCATGAACATAGTCATATGTTCCTACAAGTGGACTACCATAGATTTGATTCTAAACATTCTCCTTGTTTTTTCTTAAATACCTATGTTAGCCTCATCCAAAGTAATAATCACAAAAATTACAGGTTTCATTTTCTTATATTGTTGTTGTCCAATCGTTAAGTCATGTCTGATTCTTTGCAACCCCATGGACTGCAGCATGCCAGACTTCCCTGTCCTTCACTATCTCCTGGAGTTTGCTCAACTCATGTCCACTAAGTCGATGATGCTATCCAACCATCTCATCCTCTGTCGCCCCCTTCTTCTCCTGCCCTCAGTCTTTCCCAGGTTCAGGGTCTTTTCCAATGTGTCAGCTCTTCGCTTTGGCTGGCCAAAGTATAGAAGCTTCAGCTTCAGTATCAATCCGTCCAATGAATATTCAGCGTTGATTTCCTTTAGGATTGGTTTGATCTCCTTGCAGTTCAAGGGACTCTCAAGAGCTTTCTCCAACACCACAGTTCGAGAGCATTACTTCTTCGGCACTCAGCCTTCTTTATGGTCCAACTCTCACATCTATACATGACTACTGGAAAAACCATAGCTTTGACTAGATGGACCTTTGTCAGCAAAGTAGCCTCTGCTTTTTAATATGCTGTCTAGGTTTGTCATAGCTTTCCTTCCAAGGAGCAAGTGTCTTTTAATTTCATGGCTGCAGTCACCATGCACAGTGATGGGACTGGATGCCATGATCTTAGTTTTATGAATGTTGAGTTTTAAGCCAGCTTTTTCACTCTTCTCTTTCACCTTCATTACTAAGTATATAACTCCTAAAATTAAAAATATACAATCTGTTCAAAGCACCACTGTCATAGGACATTGTTTTACTGTTCCTGATAAATTACCTCAAAGATCCTCTGTCTAAAGGCCCACGTCTACCATGCACTTCCCATCCCGTTCTAATGCTGCTCCCCACCCACCACCACCAACACCCTTCCCCATCCTATTTCCTCCTTGTACAGCTGGCTCTGAGCAACTGTCCCCACAGAGACTCCTTGCCCCTCCTCTTTTCTTGGGAACCTTAGAGACCCACGGCCCACCTTAAGCCCTAAACCCCCGTTCTCATTGCCTCTCTGGCAAAAGTAAGGCCAGGTTTCCCTCCTCCCTGTCTTCTTTTAACATCCCCCTTGATCCAATGGCCACAGATCCTCATCATCTCTCCTCAATGAGTTTCTCAATATAACTGTTTGTTTTTTCTTTTTAAATTATTCAAGTAATGAATTAATACATTCACATTCATGTAATTAGCTCAAAAATATGTATTGAGGGACTTCCCTGATGGTCCAGTGGTTGAAACTCCATGTTTCCAATGCAGGGGGCTTGGGTTCAATCCCTGGTCTAGGAACTAAGATCCCACATGCCACAAGGCCAAAAAAAAAAAAAAAAATAGCATTGGGGACCTATTGTAGACCAGACACTGTTCTAGATGCTAGGGACACAACCATAAATGAAAAGACCAAAATCCTTGCCTTCATGTGCTGGGAGCCGGCACATGAGATCCCACCCATGACAAGGTCACGAGGAGAAAGCCTGGCAGGCAAGGCAGATCAGGTTTTCAGGGATTTCGAAAAGCTACCCCCAGCGCTCACCTTAAAGATGATATCTGTCTTTCTGATGCCTGCCTCAATAGACTACTCCCTAATTTCTGTGACACAAGCAGAAGGCCTTCCCTGATCTCTTTCCAAATAAGAATCAATTTAGAACTTTAATCAATAAGTTTCCCAGGTGGTGGTATTTTATGAGATTATCCAGGGTGAAAGGAGTGTTTTAATTTAAACTCCTTTGCTGGTATTTTAGTTTGTTTGGCAAATGCATTTATGCCCTTGGTACTAATATGCATGATTGCTTATAATACCCTAATGATAAAATAACATAAAGAACCTGATCATATAAAGGCCCTAATAGACATAGAGCCCTTCGGGGAGTGAGGAAGTCCTATTAGAAAACACAAGAAAAATTATTCTAAAGGTGGTTATTGGGTTGACGTTTGCTTGCTGTGTTTTGCTTGCTGTGTTTTTGCTTTTAATGTGCTAAGGTTGTGTTATAGAAACCGTTGTTAATATAGTTAAAGATCTAGAGAAATAAGAACTTAGCCCTAGTGTGGTAACAATGAAATGGTTGTTAATTGTCAGCCAGGAGAGATAGGCAGAAGCTGCCTCACCAAAGTCGCAGAGTCAGTGTGGGGTAAACTTCTTAAATAAACGCAACTGACAACTTCTGCAGAGGGATTAATTTTTGTATTAACAAGGTTATACTTCTACTCTGTACTGTTGCCTTGTGAGACTGCTACCTTTCAGTTAAGGTCACCATAGAAACAGAAAATAGGTTTACATTCACCTGACTTGCATAAAATGTTAATAGGCTCCAAGGCCAGAAGATAATGTACAAGACCCTCATAAACAAAGAAGTATGCAGAAAACACCCTGGTTTCGTGAAGAACAAGCTGATGTAATGTTAAACTATCTTCCCCTTAGAAATGTACTAATTTAGGGTATAAAAGCCACGGTAAAAAATAAAGCATTGCCAGACTCTGCCAGACCCTGCAAACACCCCCGTCTGGTTATTCTCTCTCTCTCTCTCCCTCGCAGACTTGGCCCTATCAAGGCTAGTCTGACGTGTCTTCTCTCTCTCTCTCTCTCTCTCTCTCTCTCTCGCCGATGCTGTTCATCCTGAGGGTATCCCCTGGATCCTGCCGAGGCTGGACCCCAGCATTCATGGAGTCGTAGTCCAGTCCAGTAGGTGAAATGGGCTATAACCAAGGAAGAAAAAAAGAGACAGAGACATGTCTGTCTGTCTCCCAGAAAAATTTTTTTTCT